CCCCCAATCTCGGAGCGAGACGGGGCCTACGGGACGCGTGGGAGAAGGCAACAAGCCAGACCCCCAATCTCGGAACGAGACGGAACATCTGGGATTGCAGCACGAAAACCCTGCACGAGGCATGGAAGAAAAAAGACCTACGGGAGGCGTTGAAGAAGGCAACAAGCCAGACCCCCAATCTCGGAGCGAGACGGAGGGTCTGGGATTGCAGCACGAAAAACCCTGCACGAGGCATGGAAGGCGAAAGACCTACGGGAGGCGTGGAAGATGGCAACAAGCCAGACCCCCGATCTCGGAGCGAGACGGGGGGTCTGGGATTGCAGCACGAAAACCTCTGCACGAGGCATGGAAAGCGAAAGACCTTCGGGAGGCGTGGAAGAAGGCAACAAGCCAGACCCCCAATCTCGGAACGAGACGGGGGGTCTGGGATTGCAGCACGAAAACCCTGCACGAGACATGGAAGGCGAAAGACCTACGGGAGGCGTGGAAGAAGGCAACAAGCCAGACCCCCAATCTCGGAACGAGACGGGGGGTCTGGGATTGCAGCACGAAAACCCTGCACGAGGCATGGAAGGCGAAAGACCTACGTACGGGAAGCGCGGAAGAAGGCAACAAGCCAGACCCCCAATCTCGGAACGAGACGGGGGGTCTGGGATTGCAGCACGAAAACCCTGCACGAGGCATGGAAGGCGAAAGACCTACGAAAGGCAACAAGCCAGACCCCCAATCTCGGAACGAGACGGGGGTCTGGGATTGCAGCACGAAAACCCTGCACGCACGCCAGGCATGGAAGGCGAAAGACCTTCGGGAGGCGTGGAAGAAGGCAACAAGCCAGACCCCCAATCTCGGAACGAGACGGGGGTCTGGGATTGCAGCACGAAAACCCTGCACGAGGCATGGAAGGCGAAAGACCTACGGGAGGCGTGGAAGAAGGCAACAAGCCAGACCCCCAATGTCGGAACGAGACGGGGGTCTGGGATTGCAGCACGAAAACCCTGCACGAGGCAGAAGGCAACAAGCCAGACCCCCAATCTCGGAACGAGACGCGGGGTCTGGGATTGCAGCACGAAAACCCTGCACGCGGCATGGAAGGCGAAAGACCACGGGTGCAAGAAGGCAACAAGCCAGACCATCAATCTCGGAGCGAGACAGGGGTCTGGGATTGCAGCACGAAAACCCTGCAGGAGGCATGGAAGGCGGGAAAGACCTACGTACGGGAAGTGCGGAAGAAGGCAACAAGCCAGACCACCAATCTCGGAGCGAGATGGGGGGTCTGGGATTGCAGCACGAAAACCCTGCACGAGGCATGGAAGGCGAAAGACCTACGGGAGGCGTGGAAGAAGGCAACAAGCCAGACCCCCAATCTCGGAACGAGATGGGGGGTCTGGGATTGCAGCACGAAAACCCTGCACGAGGCATGGAAGGCGAAAGACCTACGGGACGGATGGAAGCGCCTTTGGGAGGAGAAAAAAAGAAAAGAGTACGCCAGGCACTGTCGCCCTGACGGGAGGAATACGGGCGAGGAGGGGGGTGCTCATCGGCGGAAGAAGCCGCCTTAGTGCCACCCCCGGTGTCCCCCCACCTCGGCAAGACCCCGTAAGACCTCTCACAACCCGTCAGAACCGGGGGGAAGAAGATTTTAAAACGCAATATGACAGGTTGTTATTAACAATTGCAAATCATATATTTCAACTTGAACAAATAGAAACGAAGAATTATGTGCCAATCAAAGAAGCAATACTAAAATTTATGGAACAAGCCCAAAACGGACGAAATTATTTAAATGAGCCATATGTATATACACCTAAATTCACGTGGTATAGAAAACTACAAAAGTATCATTGGTTAAAAATACACAAGAAAGGAACACGGTTTGTTTGCAGTAAAGAACGGTTGGAACAAATAGATTTTAAAATAATAGAAGCACCAAGCGTATTGTATAGAAATTGGCATTGCTAATGGAATAATGAAATAATAATAATAATAATATCATTTATTATTATTATTATTATTATTATTATTCATACAAGCCGGTCACAAGTAGGTTCATAATTTATTAATTGGGGAGTTATTTGGTAGTTCGGGTTTTAGGGGGATTGTTTGAGGTGGCTAGGTGGTAAATAGATGATTTGTGGTAAAGTGGTGATTGTTGAAGGCGCGGAAGTGGTAAATGAATATTTCGTGGTAAAGTGATGAATGTATGAGGGGACGAAGTGGTAAATGGATGATTTGGTGGTAAAGTGGTGAATGTGGGAGGTGGCGAAGTGGTAAATGGATTTGTGTGAATTTGGGCGTTTTCTATCAGCGAACTTTACTTGTGACCTTGCCTTGCTTTTACGCCTTACGCCCGACATCTCAAACAACGGATACTGCTCACTCCTGTTAGGCTATGGGTTTTGGTGAACCAGTGTTCTTCACCGGACTATTCCCTTCTTGGCATGGCTTTTGCCAAGGTTCCTGGCTTTGGGGGGTGAGCCATCCCTACTGTTGACAATCTGCCACCCATCTACGCATCTAAATCATACGCGATTGAAGATTGGGAGTTTTTGGCCACACAACTTTCAGGGCTGTATGCTGAGTTCGGAGCAGCACTCGAGAAAGATCCCACTCAAGCATACTAGTTTGTCTCATGAGCAACAAAACAACTTGCTATTGTGAATCGGCTGCTCCTGCAACTTAATCAACTTAAACGAGATAAGGAGGGACGCTTTGACAAGATGTTCGTTGCAGCTGCTTCCTAACATGAACACATGAGAAAGTGAATTCCATGCTCGAGCCATGTCAGAGTGTTGGTGGAAGCAGCCCGTCTTGCTCAATCCGAACCAGCAAAAGGATCTTTGCCTGATGATGTCCATGCCTGATGATCAAGATCGCATATTCCGGATATAAACATTTCAACATCAAATTTTCAGTTATCATGAATATCAAGAACTAGTTCAACTTTTGCAAGAAGTTCTACATTACAAGAAATCCAAGATGGGGTGTCATGATTCATGAGAACAGCATCCTTTATCTCATGAACGGGTGAGAACTAGTTATTCAAATCGCAGGTAGAAACAAATGGTTTCAACCAGAAAGATCAAGCGAACCACAAAAAGGAACCACACAGGAACCTCTAGGTACATACATACACACGCACACACATTCCCTCACACACTCTTTTACATAGTGACCCGGACACAACACCCCCGCCCACCCATGAAAACAGGACTCCGCTTCATAAACCTCTGTGCGTACGTCCTGGCATGAAAAATGTGTGTACTCGCTGTTTGGAACCTTTGTACAACACAATCTGAACTTGCAGCGATGCCACGTGAGGGCAAGCTGAGGACTTCAGGCAAGCGTCCTCTGAGAGCGCGCTGCCGCACAAAGCTTTGTACGTCTCCTTAGGTTGCTCCGGGCCTTCCACTACATGTTTCTCTCTTCTTCCCCGGGGCATGAGGGGTGTTCGAAGCCCCCCGGCCGCAAGGGCCCCCCCGATGTTTCTCTCTCTCTCTCTCTTTCTCTCTCTCTCTCTCTCTGCCGTGCCATCATCAAGAGTCTCGCTGTCAGCCATACATAGCATCTTCCACTACGACCAGGTCTCGCAGAGCAACATTGGCTTCAGCTTGCACAGCATTAGCTGCGTGACTGAAAATACTGCTGCAACAGGCATGGCAAGGTTTGAACATGGGCTCGCGTTTGCATTCGCGGGGGTCTTCGAGGCTGCGCGAACACCTCTGGACAGTCAGACATCTTCGAGCAACTATGCAATCAAGCGTCTCTTCGAAGCTGATCCTGTCGCTGGGCGATCATCTGCTCACTCTCCACTTGCTGGGCAGCCGCCACTTTCTTGGCTTCCTGCAATGCTTGTAGCTGCTGAGCCAAGGTGTCAGGACCGGCCCGAAAGGCACGATAGGGACTGGCCACCTGACAATAACACCGTCCGGGACTTCCCACTGGGCTCGGAGCTCGTGGCAGATGCATCAAAGTCAGTGGCTCCCGACTCTGACTGTGTACTTGTCCATTGTGCAAACGAGGCGTCGATTGGCTATCCACCGCAACCTGCCGTGTCTGAACCAAACGAGGGGAAGCTGGTCGGATATAGCCATTTGACGCAGATCCATTCGTCTGAACCGGAGCAGGTGCCGGAGCCGGAGGTGCCGGAGGCGCCGGAGCAGATGCCACGTAGCGTGTAGGTGAACTTGCCCGAAGGCCCATGGATGCTTGCGCGGCCAGCTTCCCAGGGTTCGACGGGATGTGGCCCACGCTTTGCCGAGGGCTCAGCAAAAGCGGCTCACTGCTCCTTTGGTGCAATCGCGGGGATAATGAAGCACGCCGTGGAAACAGTGATTGGCGAACCAAATAAGACTTCCTGGTTGGAGGAAGGCCCCGTGCTGACAGTGGGATCGGACTTGGGTGCCGCAATGTATCCAAACATGTTGGGTCGGCTAGTTGTACGAGTGGTGCTGCCTGTCGACGACTTGAATGCGGAGGCAGAATGATGCCCGTGCTGGTTACCGGCTCCAGCATGGGCTCGAACGCACCAAGTTCAGGCTGCAGTATCGTACGTGGTGCTTTGGCTGCAGTCTATCTGAACGACATTGACATGGGCATCAACTCCGTTCTGGATGCTGTCTATGACTTTGGTTTCTGTCCCAGGGAATGTGATACCGAATACTTGCATGGTCTTGACTCGTTCGCCGTGCTTCTGTTGGAGAACCTGGAGCTCGAAAAATCGCATGCGGCGACCGCGCAGTCTCGCAATCATACTTTACAACAAGCGCTTTCGCTGCTTTCTGAACAACACAGACTGTTCTCGCTGCCAGGCCAGTCGAGAGGGAGGGAGAGAGAGAGAGGGATAGAGAGAGAGAGAGAGAGCGAGCAAGAACGAGAGCAGCCTGCTCTCGCCATTTTACGTGCTCCTTTGCAATCTGCTTGACTCTTCTCTGGCGGCTGACTGCACTGCTCGGCTCGAGCTCCGCAACGCGTCGAGCTGATTTTTCCGCTGCAGGCCACTGTCAAAGCTCAAGCGCTTGGGCCTCGTCGTAACCTCAGCTGACGCAGTACTGCCGTTTGCAGATTCCACGGTGTGATCTGTGCCAGGGCACAGCGCATCTTCCGAAGTGCTGCGGCGGCTGCAGATTTAGTGGCTTCGGCGTTGGGTGGAGCCCGAGGTCCTGGGAAAGGCCGGACAGACCCATGCAAATCACATGTCGAAAACATGTGCCTCTTGATCTGTGTGATGATTGATCTGATTTCAGCCATCAAGAACCTACGCGATGGGCCTGCTGACGTTTACAGAGACCGCGGAGAACAATTACGGGACATCGTGGTCCGTGGTTGGGCCTATACGGCAATTTTCGCTCGGATGCGACCCCTCCTTCCGTCAATGCGGATATCCGGATGTCCCCCCAAAAAGAGAGGGTAAGCCTCGTGAATCTTAAGCCGCTGCAAGGCTCTCTAGGACAGCATTCTTGGTACCAGTCACATTTCAAGCAATCTTTCTCTCAGCTTTTCGTTTGCGAATGTTTGCACGCAATGTAAGAATTGCCTGTGGTAGCCTGTGTCTGTTCGTGCATGCATTACAACTTCCACAACTGCATCTTCGATCTCGCCACTCTCAGTCCTGGTGATGGGCTGCTGGAATTGAAAGACTTCTAAGATCAGAGAAAGATGGCGTTCGAAGGTAGATTCAGGTGGATGGAGTGCTGCAGCCTGTCCTAGAACGTCTCGAAGTGGTCTCAAGGCCTGGGGCAGGCCATTCTCGAACCACCTGCACAAATTAGGCAACCGCACCAACGTCACAGGTTGTGGGTTGTGTGCCGTTCATGCCACACGGGCCCAGGGAAGTGCAATTCGAATGCCTGTCTGGGAGTGCATCCACAAATCTCTCCTTAGCTGTAACATCATGCCACGCAAGCATGAGGCATTAGAGTGTGAGGAGATCAGTGTGAGCTACCTTCGCAAGCACCGTGTACAACTGAGACGGGGCTCCACGAGGTCCATCTCCTCTGGTCTAAGCCGAGGGGCCTGCCAGTGCATTCAGCAAGCTCATGCCGCTAGCTCATGGTCATGTCCACCTTTTGAGACCGAGCTAGTAAGTGGGCAACTGCCCGACACCTGCCGACACAAGCTAAACTCCGACAGGCAGTATAGTTCCGGCAACACCGAAAAAGGCTCGCCTACCTGTTCGTTCACAGATCTGCAGATGACGTGCTTGGCTCCACGCAAACATAGGTAACTAATTAATGGTGCAAAAAAATCCAACGTCCTGAAGGTGCGGTGCTATACCTTGGATGCACATCAGGGAGCACAGGGGAAAACGCTTTTTTCCCTCGGGGAAGAAGGCTTGGCATCGGGCCTATGTCTGAGACATCTCTTGCGAGATCCAAGGCTTCTGGACGGTATAAGATCTTCAGCGCTTGAGACTGGTGTGCTGCAGCCTTGTTGCATGCCGGCTCAGTGACAAATCAACTGTCGAAGCAACTGCACCCCTTACAGGGGTCAACAGCTTGATCAGTCGCTATACGGACGCACAGCGCTGTTTCGTCGGGGGTCTCGGTAGCGGCATCACGAGGCGCTTGTTGTGGGGAGGGGCATGTGGCGAATCAGCTGCAAAAACTTGAACCAACAAACCTTCGAAGCCACACACCATCTGTACAACTGTGCATTCACGGCGCGGGTCGTGAATATGTCTTGCAGGAGAATCGGCGCAAGCCTGGTGCTTCAGGTTTCTTCTTCCGAAGACACGGAAACAACGAATGGAGACTGCATTACGATCAGCAGGATTTTGGGGGCTTCTGAACGTGCACAGATACGGGGCTACTGCTACTATAGCCACTTAGGCATGCTAAGTGGCTTCTCATCCGGAATGCGCCCTTCCAGTTGCACAGCGCATGCGGCAATCCTCGGCTGCAGGCTGTTCAGGTTCATAGTTACTTCACTGCACGAGCCCGAATTCGCACTTGGTCGCGGGTCATGTTGACAATGCGGCACTCTGGAACAAGGGGCGGTCATTGCCCTACTATGCTGCAGAAGCCGCTTGCAGCTCCGCCGGAGCAAACGCTTTCGAGCAGCAGAGGCGTACCAAGTGGTGACCTCCATGAGAAATCAATCAAGGACAGAACAAGTGTCAGCAACTAGGCAGTAGCCAGTGGTACATGAAAGCATAGATCCCTCTCTCCTGTCCGTGCTTGGGTATGTAGGGATGCCGGACATCTGCAAAGGGAGCCAGCAAGCAACAAAGAGTGCAAGCTCTGACGTGATCGAGGTACTTCCTTTGTCTCACCGAATGCCTGGGGAGGAAGGCACCCCTAGGCACCCTCAGCGACATACTACATCACAGTTGATTTTCAGAGTCCGGACATCTGTATATCCAGTATTACTCACTGTCAGTTTAACGGCTGCTTGACATCAGACTATTCACTGTGATTAGCTTGCCTAGCAGTGCCTAGCAGGCCTAACACAAAGGGCAGTAATGCATGTACAAACTTTTGACTCGCACGGGCCCCACATGTTTTGGGTTGACCGTGTGGAACACTTTCACAGGCGCAACAGTTCCACTGGCTTTATAGCAACTGTCAACATCTGGCAACCCAACTCATACTTGTGGAACTTCGTTCGCAAAATCACCACGCAACAGAATAATGACTCGAAACATGCTTTGGGGGCAGGAAACAAATCGCAGATCCAGTCAATCTGGCTGGTTGGGCCGAATACAAGGTGTCGGCTGCACAGGACCTGCCTGAGCTGATTGTACGAAGACTTCCTTAGCTATCAATACTGCAAGGGAAAGGTGTGAACGGGCACAGGTCCTACTGCGGACTGCGATGCTGTCATCCGGTTCGACTGCGATACTTGCATAACTCGACGAACACCAGATTCTGAAACCTGATTTGCGAAGTACCGTGGGAAAAGACCAGTGGCGGGTGCCAAGGTCTGCAGTCCGGCGCGCAGCCGCTCGACAGCCGCCTTCAGGGCAGCTCTAGTCTAAGGCTTGTAGTTCAACACAGTCAGTGCTCTGCAGCTTCCTTCTTGAACTGTCTTCGCAGCTGTCTCGCTTTTGAGGGTCACAGAGCACATCGTACCTCGGCCAACTCGCCGAAGGCTTCCGACGCTTCGCCGACCTCCATTCTTTCGACTAGTGATCGGAAAGCTGTATCGAAGCCTCCGCTAAGCAACCGGTAGGAGGTCTGAGTCTGTGCATCGCAAAGGGGAGCACTTCACGCGTCGGAATGGAGCGCACATAGCTTCCCGGTGGACACAAGCCTCAAGCATGTGCCCATACCTGTTGGCGCAAGACCCTCTGTGAACAGATTTTCCCACATCAGCGGCCTCGAAAAGTAAACATTCATCCAGCCTTGGGTGTCTGGGATCCGTCGTGTGACTAGACGGATCGAAGCTCGAGCGCATCCATTGCAGGTCTGGAGGCAAAGCTGATGCACGCTGGCTCTGGGGCATCGAAGTCACGTCCCAGCAATGGCGCCTGGGTTTCCGTGTTGGTCGAGCCGGGTTCCAACCTCCTGGTGTACGCGCCTGAATCTAGACTGCTAGACAAACGCATATTATCCTTTAACTGCTTGCCATTTCCACGCCCAGGACGAGACGTGGATCCTAAATGCTGCTGCTTGTCGATACTCTCGAGCATTGCCAAACTCGGCAGATCAACTTTGCTCAGAACCCCTTCGGTGCGAGCAAGGTGCAGGCGCCGTGCCACCTCGGGGAAGATGCACTGCTGCACGATCTTTGGCACCAACCTCGTTGAGAAAGGCACGCCCTGCAACTCTACACAGGGTTTGCATTGTCGAAGGCGAGCGCTTTATCCTTTCCCTGCCGTAGTGGGACCTCTTAGACTCTAAGCACAAGCATCATAAGCGCCATTGATCGCCATTGCATGATTCAGAAACGAACACAGTACCCGAGCTGGCAGTGGGCCACAGCACAGCACGACGCCTACATTGACGCTTCGCTTGATTCGTGGCTTGCATGCCCAGGCGACTCCCCGTCGGGGTCATCGTCGCCTAAGAGTTCCGTGAAGGCAGCCATGTCCTGCAAGTGGGGCTGAAATTTGAGGCTGTCGCGAACCAGCATCGGCTCGGGTCCTCAAACCAGTCGAACGTCTCCAGCTGTGTTGATGTGATCGCCTTGCGAAGAGAATGGCGCACACTTCTTTGGCTGCTCCGTAGGCGCACACTTCTTTGGCTGCTCCGTATGGCATGACACGGCAGGGGTAGACCTATAGTTCCAACTTACTCCACACTGTCTGCTTGCCTTCCGTGGTCCGAAAGTCACGTCATCAGCGCGGGCCAGAAGACGCAAAGGGTCCCACCTGCAAGATATTGGACCACATGAGCCCGAGGAACGGTTGGCTCTCGGCTCGCGCAATCGTATCACACCCGAGACATGAACTAGCGAGTCTGATCGGCACAAGACATGCAACTTGTATGAGATGGGCCAGACATAATCAGTCACACAGACATGTTTCGCAGGAGGATGTGCAGACCCAGTTCCCTTCATCCTCAGGCAGAGTAGGGATTTGGCGATGGATTCGGACACCGTGGTATCTGCGCGTGAAGCAATCGAGGCCAGGCACCACAAGGTGGAAAAGTCAACGAAGAAGCCGAAGACCTCTGGCAAAGCCAAGTGGACGAAAGCCTGCGACCATGAGCAGTTTGACAGCCTCTTCTTATCTTCGCAACACACAATGCCGTTTTGGCAGAAGTTTGGACACCGAGTTTCACTGTTTGCGATATCTAATTTGCTCAGCCACCTACCGGGCACCTACGCAGGCTTGCGTGCCTGGCGGTACTCGTCCTGCAGCTTCTTCTTCGCGGACTTCAGAGCCTTGTGAATTGGAACGTTGTTTGCAACGGCCCGATCACCAGCTGCGGTAGTGCCAACATGCTATGTTTGGGTATCGCGCCTTCAGAACAGATCTTGCGCTGGCAAACTCTTCAGACACGTCATCCAGCAACTGCTTCTGCACCTTGGCCGATACGTCTTCCGCCCTCGTCCTCTGCACAAATCCGAGCAGGATTTGAATTGCAAGCAGAGCACGGCAGTGGAGAAAATGGAGCGATCTTTCCTGGTTTGCTCCAGACCTTGGCTCGCTTCGTGGCTGGAGGCACCCGTCACCGAACAGATCGCATTACATGTCTGCTGTCTGCTTGGTTGCCGGAGCATGACATAGCAATCATGTTCGATTATTTCAGATTCGTTGCCATCCTCCTCGCTGAGGTCTGAGGTGTCCTTGGCCGCTGCAACTCACCCGGCGAAAGGGACTGCGCAGTTTTTGGTGTTCCCGTTCGACACCGAGTCGATCAGGACTTGCCAGGACGAGTCGGCACTGGAGACAAGTCAACCGAACTCCCTTTTCGACCGGCGGCCCAGCCATCATCTCCTTTTCTCTGCGAGCGACGCTGGCGTCGGCGTGCTGAGGCCTGCCGCCAAATTACACTCGCCGAAAGGCCCCGAAGCGACGGGAGAAAGTTCTGGCAGCCTAGAAATGAGGCTGGCCTGCTCCGACTTCTCGACGTCGCTTCCTTCTTCGGCCTGGCCCGTGCGTGGTTCAGTCTGAGGACATCTCTATTCTGTCGTTCTAATGTATTTCTGCCTAAGGCGCCAGGACATGTATAGAAGTTTTGCTTGCTATTCTCGACCTTGCTGACCATCGAGGTGATCCGTCGCAGCTCTGTTGTGTCTGAGAGCCCTGCTTCCTCTTCTTCTTGTCGGTATGTCAAGCTGGCCCCAGTCTCCTGCAAAGCTTCTGCCATGTCCTGCGAGAATCAAGTGGTTGGATTGCCGCATCGTCTACATCGGATCGCAAGTGATGGAAGACTTAAACCGACGAGCCACGCAGTAGCGCAGCAGAAAGACATAGCCAGGCAAAGAAAGCCCAACGGATTCCAGAGCAGGCGCATGCAATACATACGCAGCAAGCCTTATTGAAGCTTGAGAAAACACAACGAGGAAGACAGCGAGCAGCAGGTTTCCTTGGCCCGTCGCTTGGTTCGCCGGCGGGAAAAGTCTTCCTCAATCTGTGCCAGCATTCGCGAGGCCTGGCTTCAAACTTGATGAGAGACCGTCCCCAAGAATAGGCGGAGTCGGAGATGGGGGCACAATGGCGCGCACTAATGCTTCTATTCTATTGCTCTCTTCCAAGTTCCGGGCCTGCTTGCACTTGGGTGACTTCTCATCCAAGAGCCCTCCAAGGGACCAGGCTAGCTCCTCGAGCCTAGCATGGGATGAGCGCTCGAAGAGCGGTCGTGAACTCGAGCTATGAACCCTTGTTGTACTTGTGAAGTTGCAGGCTCGTGCTTGAAAAAGTGAAGCAACAGAGGCTGCAACTTCACAAGTGTGTCAAAGGAATGCAAGTCTCTGGCTACCAACAAGAAGGATGTTGCAAGGCTCCGCTTCCAGCTCGCATCCAAGCCATGTTTAGAATTCTGAGGCCAAGCGGCTCCTGGACGCTCCGAAGCATGCGCGAGATCTCCTTGTCCCGCCGCTCCTTCGCTGCAGTCTGTTCAAGATCTCGCACCACTCCCTTCTGACCCGAGAACCTAGCAACGTAGTCATTGCTGACATAAGCTGAAATCTCATACAAGCCCCTGTCTCCGATCGAAGTGTATCTGCAAACATACAAGAGTACAACCTGGAGGCGTCTGGTCAACTACAACTCAGAGTAGAATTACATTGAAGACACTTCAACTAATTCTGCTTCGTTGCTTCGTTCTTACTGTTTGACTTTTACCCCGCTTCGTGGCCGTACTTGTGCAAAACTAACCATAAGCTTGCAAAGCACTTTTTGAAGCTGCAATGAGATGCTCGAGAGAGCCCGGCAGAACATGTTCCGACAAACCGCCAGGTACGGAGGCTGAATATCCTGACAGCCGTGGACATCCCAAGGAACAATGCTTTCACACCCCGGAAGCTTCAGCAAATTAGGTAACCACAGAATGTCACAGCCATGGTGCGATTTCTGCCAGCTCGTCACTGGCAGCCTCAGCCTGTGCCGTAAGCTCCTCAGCTGGGCTGCTGGCTTTCACAGCACGCGCTGGGACGAATCAATCCGAGCGGCTGCCAGCTTCGCTTCGCGATCCCCGGCCGAGCCTTCAAGGCCCTTGATCGTCCCCCAGAGCCTGCACGTGCAGCGACAGAGCAGTGGCCGATTGATCCAAAACCTCTGAAACACGGAACCGGACGCGAGGCACCCAATTACGGAAAGCTGCAGTAACAACTTGGAAAGGACGGCGTGTATCGATGGACCCAGGCTCAAACTCTGCATCAGCCGGGAATCGACAACCAATATGACTACTGCATGTCGGTACGACTGCAAAAGATGTGCTGGGAACCCTCAAAAAAAGATGATTCATGCTTCAAAGCACCGCGAGGTGAATGGGTGCCCCGGTGTCCCCACCCCACCTGGCCATCGCCTCGGAAGCTGCAGGGATGACCTGAGCTCCGTGCCGGCTCTTCATGAGCCATTGGCCCATGCTATGTTCCTTTCCGCCAGTCTCTCTGGCTCTCTGCCTGTGTGCCTTGCTTTATCGCCGCTTATGTCGAGCCAGTGTCAACCGCTCTGGAGCCTGCGGAGTGCTTTGCTGCCCTGTTCACGAGTCTTATCGGATCTATTGTATGCACGCATGGCATGAGGACGACGAGTGCACAAGGATATACATACATATGCCTTCATTCTGTGCATTTCCTTTAGATTCAGGTCAGTTCAATCCATCCGTGCATTTCTTCCCACGTTCACTAACTTCTTGCACTGAGTAATTAATTCCCCCAGAGCCACCAAGTTTGGGGTCCATACTGGCGTAGTCGTCACATGTGACGCTCACTTCCCGTGGAGGCCTCGAGCTCCTGTCTCACTCGCCTCAGGCGCCTGTTTCTTCCTAACCTTCCGAGTAGCTTCGACCGAAGCATCCGACGATACCGGTCGCAGCCGTGACGCCGAGCAAAACACGCCGACGCCACGACCGTGACTTCAACCAAGACGGGCACCCACCGAAGCATGAGCGACACGAACGGGACACGATCGGGACGCTGACCAAAACAGGATCGCGACACCGACCGGGACTCAGCCGGGACTGACCGACGAAAGAGGACCGCGACGCCGACCAGGACAGCACCGAGACCTGCTGGGCACGCTCATGTTTCGGTCAGTGTGGAGCCGGTTGCTGTGGTCGGTGTCCGAATGGTGTCAAGGTGGTGTCTCGGTCGCTATTTTCACCGTGTCAGGGTAGCGTTGATCGGGATTTTGGTCGCTGCTCCGGTCGTGTCCGTAACGGTCGGTCTTATCATGTTGGTAGAGCATTTGATGTATTTGATGCAAGACCGAGCTTCTTCAGTTTTCTATTCGGGTCTGCAACTGAGTTATGAGCATTTTACAGACAAAGCAGTCGGTCAGGCGGACCAAGCCAGCACAATCAAATACATGTCACAGGCGCTTGACACCACTCGAGACAGCTACAGCCGTCTGAGAAACTTGAAGGCCACATGGCAGGGCAACGCTCCGTTGAAAGACCTTCGTGGCATCAGCCCGATTGCAGGCAAGCGGCACTTGCCTTTGCACGTATGGCAGCCTGCTTCGGTGACAGCACAGGTCGAATCTGGTGAGAGTGGCTACAGCGGCTACAGTACCGCAACCTCTGAGACAGTCTGCAAAGGAACTCCGCTTTTGCTGTGCCGCTTTGCTTTGATCTCGACTATTTCGAAAGTCGTCGGAGTTCGGCCCAAGCACACACCCCCTGCGCTGGCAGCAATGGCAGCCGTCCAGCCTCTCCATCATGGCCTTTAGCCACCCGTTCGGCAGCCTTGCGGACCTGGATCGGTGAGAGCCCCCACTTGCGACCACCGAGACAAAATGCTGTGTCGCAGCCTGCCTGCGCAACACCATCTCTGCTGCTCAACTTCGCAATTTCCTGGCCATGCACGATCTCTGGTGAGTATCATTGCGAGTTTATGTTGTTGGGAATCATTGGGTATGAAGAAACCGGTAAGATGGTAATCAAGCTTGCGCAATACCGTGGGGGCGTATCAGAGAATATTGGGGACCGAGTGCCTGAAGCATGTTGTGGCTTCACGCCGAGGGAGGGTCCGGGCCACTCACAGCAAACCTTACAAGAAACTGACAGAGCGAGGCAATGGAGGGGAAGAGGCTGGTGCGAAGGAGGAGGAGCGGGTTGGGGCAAGCGTCTCACAGCAAACCTCTAGCGAACCTTGACCGCGAGGCCACTCTTGCTGAGCTCCTCACAGAAAAAAACCTTCTGGCTGCCAGCCCAACATTTCCACTATAGACAGTCATGATAACAGCTAGCGGGATGACTCAAGGCTTTAGCTGCGAAGCTGAATTTCAAACTGAAAGTGTGCCACATGATGCCATGGAACTTAACCTTCGTCCAATTGTCGCTACGCGCAAGCCGGAGCTTCAACCCAACTGCATGAACTTGTCAAGTGCAGCCACCTCGTCCAACGAGGTCTCTGTGACTTCCGCCGCCTGCCAAGGGAGTGCATGGGAGTGCCCAGAGATGGCTGACGCTTGGTAGCGCCTGTCGTCCTGTAGTCCTGGCATGTCCTGGCTCAATCCTGCATTATTCCTTGCGTCAAACCTACGCCTGTTCTAAGAACGGCGTCCAGCCCTATCCCAACCAAGCTTCAGCCCCAAGTCATCCCCAAAATCCAATCCTGGACATGTCTGTCCGACCTCTCCACCCCTGCGACGGTGGAGGCCCAGCTCCAGTTGCCGCAAAGCCCAGGCATCTGGAGCATCCTCCTCAAAGCGAGTGAAGGGAAAGATAAGTAAGTGCACTGAAGGAAAAAGGGACGGAGCGGGCAAAAGCACAGTCTCCTCTTCGCCCTCGTTGAGTTCCTTCTGGGCGGCTTGAGCCAGGGCCTGCCAAGTCTCATGAAGCTGCTGCACACACGTCTTATCTGGATGCCAGGAAGTTTACACCGTTTTCATGGCTGAGATTGCTCAAAGCTCCGATGCCCTAGGCACCTTGATACGTTCGCTGGTCGCGTTGTTCGCCGGCACAGGCGCCGCTGCTGGTTTGGCAGGTGGGCCTCCACGGCAGGACGTAGAGTTTTCAATGCCTACTAAATTGTGCCAACAGAAATGGAGACTTCTCTCTCTCTCTCTCTCCCTCTCTGCCGTTGCATCCAGAGGGTCTAGCAGCGCCTTGCAACGCGTAATGGAGACTTCTGTAACCTGCTTGTTGTGGATCATGTGGCCTGTCATGGCTGTGTACCGCCCGGCTCGCGGGGCAGGGGCTCCGAGCTCGCGAGCCGCAGCGCGCCTGAGTGCAGGGGATGCCCACAGCCTCTTGCCATGCTGCGGCAGCAAGGATTATTCCGATTCCCGGTATTATGGCCCTGTGCCTGCTCCTTACAATGCCTTCTTGCCAAGATGGAATTTATCAATGTCTTGGCTTGCTGGCAGCTGCGGCATACTAACTTTGAACATCAAGTGTCAATAATATAATCAACTGCAAGCTCTTTGAACTGGCAAGTTGCTGGGCCCTTGCAAGGCGCGCAGCCAGGACTGCCTCCGTCGTTTGCGCGGTTCGAATTTCTGGCGGCTAGACTCTGCACCCACGTACTCCACCAGCTGAGTTGAAGCCCATTGACAGAAGCGATCCGCTGGTATCCGCAGAACGCCACTGCTTCACGCTTGCCAGCACAGTGAACAGCGATTGGATGACTGACACGAGCTATCACGAGCTGACAGCCACTTGCTCTAACTTGTGCCATGCCATGCAAACTGCAAACTTCATAGCAAAAACTGATCGCAACTTCTTGCGGAGGATTCGAGGCTTGGAGAGGTCGGAGGAGGCTGCCTTGCCCCGCCTTGGACTCTTCTCCGTCGGCCTCATCCCTGGGCTGGGCTGTATAAATACAAAGAAGAACAGAAATTCAGTTGAGCTTGATGTGCACCCTGTTGCTGTCACATCTGCGGCGGGGGGGTGGGGTGGGTGCTGAAAGACACTAAATCATTATTAGGAGGCGCGCTTGCAGCTAGCAGCCGTGTGAGGACTACGAAGTAGCTGCTCTTCTCAACTTCTCCGAGGCACTCGGAATCTTTGTCCACAGGCTCTATGGGCTCGCTCAGAGGTTCTGGCTCCGGGGCCTTGGAAGCCATGAAAGCTTCAGAGACCATGTGCCCCTCGGGCTATAAGCAGGGGCGCGTTGCACCCACGATGTCTTCCGGTCAAGAACAGGACATACATCCACAACACAAGCTCGGTGTTCAGTTGCCTTCTAACTCCTGCCGCTCAAGTCCCGGCCTGAACTGCCTGAGGGGCGGGAGGTTCAGGAGGCTCCTCTTTGTCTTCCTCGACCTGATCGGAAAAGTCCAGTTCTACGGTTCAATCCATCACACAGGTGCTGGCGATGTACGGAGGGCACGAGAGCGTCTCGCGTTTAGAAGAGCAAGCTTCTGCCACAGAACCGTGCTTTCGGAAGCTCATTGACGCGTGAAAAGAGTTCTCCCAACCCCAACCCCGGCCTTTGAGCGCAAGCCCTTGGGCTTGGAAGAGCGCCGGAAGCTGTTCAGATCTGCCGGGGCCTGTCGAAGAAATTCCATCAAACGGCCCTCTGGAGTGCGCGACTTAGGGTTGCATTGCAGCGGTTGCCTTTCTTGCGCCAAATGCTGAGCGGCCAGATTTTCGGAGAGTCCGTGCTGCTACTGAAGGTTCTGGAAGGCCTTCGTCGCTGCCATCTGACGGCTAAGGCGAGTTTTCTTCCTTGGCAGTGAAGCAGTAACCCGACCAGGAGATGCTCGCAACTACGCTGCATGGAAGTTGGTGCATGTGACATGCTTCCGTCGATCCATCCGGCCGTCCATGCATGCATGCATACACCCGCACAAGCATATCGAATTAACCCAAGCTATATGTCTATGTGTATGTGTATACACAAATATTCTTATATCTCCATATATATATATATATATATATATATATCGAATGTGGTTACTATATCTTTGACCTGTGGCGATGCATGCACTAGGGTTGCCAATCCATTGCCATGTTCAAACATACCAAACAAATCCTAAAATATCGCCACATCTCGAAACCTGTAGGACCACAGTGGCACATACACTTCTTTATTCTTGGGCTGGCAAGGTTTCAACATTTCAGACTTCGGAGATTTTGAGCATTTTTGATCCCTGCCTCTGTGTGTTTGTGCTAGACGTAGCAATCATCAATATTTACCGTGCCCGTGCCATCTTACCCCAAAACCATACTGCGTGTTGCCGGCCCGCCCCATAAGATCCTTTCTTGGACAGTTGGTCTTCTCTTAATACCAACACATCCTGGCATCTATGGAGCCTCCGGTCTTTGATCTAGCAGCTTCTTGGCAACTTGATTTGGACATTCCTTGACCACTGCAGATTTTCCCAGATTCTAGATTCTAGATGGTCAAGGCCGGCAGGCTCAGAAAAGCATCGGGCAAACTGTCGCACATATCGCGATGTTTGAAATTTTTGAACTCGAACACTTTGGGCTGTCAACATTTGCAACTTCGGAAACGGGAAATTTGTAGCCCTGTCGGATGCTTTAGCACATGAAAATGAGGATCCCCACCTTCCTTCGTCCTCTCAAATTCTGCGATTGCCGGACGCGACTACTGGCATATACGAGTATCTTGGAAGCACCTCGATCTTGAACTGGCATGTTTCTGTTTGCTCATTAGGATATCTTGGCGCACCACGACATTATTCAGCGACATGCCGAGTCATGCAAAAAACTATGCCAAGGTGCACCTTGAACATTGGTACCTCTTCTTCCTCATCCTGACCACGACAAGGTGCATTGAATAAAGGCTAGATTTGTCGCTACCATGCCTGAATCTTACAGGTCTCTCAACCCGCAAGCCCTCCAAAACGAAGTCAGCCCTGACGGCACCCCGCACCTCACCAATGGATATCAATTGCCGTCGAAGCGACGCCATGCCGCCGGATGATGACAAACAGCTGTTGACTTACACCGTGACTTCAGCAGCTCTTTCAGTTGGTGGCGATGTGGTGCTATTCCGAGTGCTTCGGTGGAAATAACCGGCTCTCGCTGGCCGGGGTGCTGACGAGCAGTTGAATCGCTAACATGACTTCGCACAGTTGGCAAAGTTACGCCACTGTCCCGCGAAGTAACCAAGTAAGAACTCGTGAGCTGTCTGGTGTGGCTCTCCGGCTCTCTTCTTCCTCGCTGTCTCTGCCGCCGGCAATGATCACCATGCATGCAAATCAGCTGAACCTGAATCCACATGCATCGTGCACGGCACCATCGCTAAGCCAACAAGCAGGGACAGATTGCAGAACTGGCGTATTAATCTGAAGAGGAAGGCAACTGGATGAGTTCGTTTGGGAACCTTCTGCCCTGGAGAGCCCTCGTACAGAGTCCAAACCAGTTCGTTGGAGTTTACGCTGGTCAGACAAACTCTCCAAGCTAACACACCACACACACATACACACACACACACACACAAAACACACCACACACACCACACACACCACACACACACACACACACACATACACACACCACACACAACACACACACACACACAACACACACAACACACAACACACAACACACACAACACACACTCAGCACACACAACACACACACACACGCACACACAACACACACACACACACACCACACACACGCACAAACGTACACGACGTACGTACGTGCGGCCGGAAGATAGCTGTGCTCCCGACATGTCTGTTGTGTTGAGCCTGGCCAGCCCAGCTTAGATGTGCAAGCTGCTGCACCTACCTTTCGAGCTTTGCAGCAGACCTGCCTCCATCGGATTCTGTGAAAACGAAGGTCCGGAAGTCGGCTGAAGTCCTGCGAGCATGAATGCGCATAGACGCATAACCCGACCTGTGGGTTCCCACGGCGATCGACGCGAGATGCAAAATCCATTTCCGAATCCCGACCACCACCTCACCCGGCAAACCTTGACGCTTAGGGAAACAACGAGCGTTGGTTGTCCGGGACAGGCACAGCTCTGTCTGGCTCGCAGACTTTTTGTTCTGCCAAGTCAAGCTCCCCTCCGCGGCGGCGCTCATCGCGGAGGGCCCGTCCATTGGATCTTGCGGATGCGGTCCCGGATCTGTGACGAGCATCACAAGTCTGGGGCGCAGATGGTGCAGCCAATACGGCTTTTAGGCGATTTGGGATGGAAATCCTGGTCCTAATTTCTCGCACGGAGCAAGGGTGGAAAAGGACCTCACATGCCCGACAGTACGCGGGATACATGTGCAAACTCGTGGCAGGATATGCACGGCAGGATCCAAGGGGTCGGGAACAATACAGTACCATGCGTTAGAGCCGTAGTTCAAGCCTCGCCAACCATCCGTTGTGGCACACACAGCGTGGACGTCATTAACTGAAGGCCGAACTCCTTCGGGTCAGCACCTTGGCATGACATCTCTGTGCTGCTACTCTGCTACTGCGAAACCGACGCCATCCAACGGTCCAACGCACCCTCACAACTCGTGCTAACCGAGCGCATCTGGGCTCTTGCCGGCTTGATGCGTAACTGAAGTTGCTGTAGCTAGATGCGTCAGGATGCGCCGAAGCTTAACGACAACCCGTGCGGCCAAGGCGCACCAGTACGAGTGCAAATCTGAGAGGAGTCGCATCACTCGAGTCGGCGGCGGCTTGTCGGATTCTGAATCCTGTTCTGTCAGTTGACATTTTGCGAGCTGGTGGACTTCAGTCTTGGTAAGCGGAGCGGGGAAGTGTCCTCAACGTAGATAAGGGGCTGGTGAGCACGGATAGTCGCACCAGCTCCGAGCAGCATATCCTCGGGTGACTGGCAGTTTGCTTCGAGTTGGACGGCATGCCAAACTCTCCATCCTCCGACAGTGCAGGGCCCCATATCAGAATCGAGTGTCATACTCGCCGCTTTCGACATCGATCTTCATGACCTGAGCCCGGGCCATGGAAAACAAGTCCGAATCCTGAACTGGAACCCGCAGTGCTTTCGAGTTTCAAGTCTTCAACTCAACGGCAGCTGAGCAAAAGCCTCACGGAAGCCATTCAGTCGCGACGCATCCAGTCTGTCCAGTTTCAGCTTGTCGTCCAGACGGACTACGCTGACCTTTGTCTGTTCAGCTGCACAAGACCACCGCGACACACTATCGTCTCTAGCTTCTTGAGTAGCAAGTGACTTCCATTTTCGGAATCTTAAGTCTTCTTCTCGTGGCCGCTGCTGATTCCTGACAGATGCTGTCGGCTGACCGTCTCGCTCCGCCCCAGGCTATCGTGGTGGACGAGCAGCCTGGAATGGAGCATGGAAGAAGTGCTGTCGATAAGAGGCGGCAGCTTGAAGGGTTCCTGTTCGAAGCTATGTGCGGCTGGGCTGAGGCAATGTAAGATTCAAGGAAGTCCCATGCGCTGGCCACTCACGACCAGTGTGCAAGCAAGCTACCATTGGTCAGCCGAGCACGACACACGCTGCATGACTTGGCTTGTGTCGCACAACAACATGCCAGCTTCCCGAAGATCTGAACTTTCATCGAGAGTCTAGTGACAGCCACAGCTAGTGTCAAAGTTTCTACATCTCGCCTCAACTTTGCAGCATGTCACAATAGAAAACACAGCATGTTGCAGGGCGCAACAAGGGTTTGGCTGCAACCTTCTTGAGGGTCTGCCAATGTGAAGCTCAGCAGCAGCAGCAGCACACGCGCACAAATTAAGCCAGAGTTCCCGAAACCGGAGATGAAGAGCTACTTTGCAGAACGTTAACCGCCCAGGAGCTCTGACGCGATTTCGTCCACAACGAAGGACTTTGACCTCAGGTCCAGGCTCAGTCCGTCACAGAGATTGGAAGAAAGGGGCACTTGCAAAACGTTTGTAAGGTACAAGATCAAGCGGTGAAACAACCTCCGAGCAACTAAAGAGCCAATGATTCGTCAGCAAGAACAGGAGCCCACAGCTCAAACTCCCAAGCCCTGAGTGCGAGGCGGATTGCCCACTGCACCAAGGCCAGGCCTTGGATAACCCATCACTGCAGTTCAACGTAGACTCCTCTAGCCATAAGCCATGCCATAAACCATAATAGCCATTATTGTGGCAGAAGTTCTTGTCCCGCAGCTCTGCGAAAGGCTCCGTGTCGGGAATGCGTTGAAGACATGGGAATGCAGGACGAGTCATGCCATTGACACTTCCGCAAAGCAAAAAAAGCTAAGGCCTGGACATTGGCCGGCGGCGCTGCTCGGTTGCGTTTCCTGTCAGTCATCTTCTTGGGTCGCTTTGCTGAGTCTTCAGTGACGCCGATCGGCTTTCATCGACTACTACAGAACCCAGCAACATCAAGGCAACAATGGCAAAACCAGACCACACTCGGTCCCAGCACGATTGAGGAGCAAGCAGTCCAGCCTAAGGCATTGTGGTAGGTAAAGCAGCTGAGCAGGCCATTGATGGCGCCTGTGCTGCTACACATTGAAGCACGAGACTGCTAAACCTACCCGAGCGCCTATTCCTAGCTGAAGATTACGTTTGGACGGTTGAAATCTCAATTCTGCCCAGCCGCAATTTGCGGTCAACACCTGAAAGATGTTCCGAAAAGGCTCGAAGGCGTGGACCTGCACATTGATCACAGCATTGCTCGCACAGTGCTGAATCGGCCTGAGCTGAATCAGTTCAGTCCACTGTGCGACTACCAATGCTGCCTGGCCATCAGGGCCAACGTGCTTGGACAGTGGAAGCGCGAAGCCACCAATGTTTGCCTGGGCCGGACATGCCACGAACTGTGCGTCATGGCAAACCAGCCCCGCCTTGCGACGGAAGGCCCTCGCAATTGCAGTCTTGCGGAGTCTTGCGAACTCGGACTCGGTCGGCCCCAAGCCTTTGGGGCCTGTCGTGTCAAAACGAAAGACATCCTCCCGCATGTTGCATGGAGGCCAGGAGCCCGGAAAGCCCAGACGCCACAACAGCTGAAGCCCAAAAGCCGAAAAACTGCAAAAGCTGAACATCGAGGCAGCCAGCCAAAAGCAGAAACCTGACAAAAACTTCTTAACTCAAACATGGCTCCGTCTAAGTTGAGGCACAGTGGCCACTGACCGCTCCCAAGTTCAGTCCAAGCGTCTCCGGCGTCCACTGCAACGCCACCTACAGGCAGAAATGCCTCGTCAGATGAGGCTTCCACGGCTATATGCTTCGGGCAAGCTTGCAGGCGGCGGCCAAGTGGCTTTGAGCAAGTCCACCTCTGGCTGCATCCAGCGGCCCTCGCTGATGAGTTGGTCCCCCACCGTCATGTCCTGTCAAGAGGCGGTGATTTCAGTCGCGAGAAGTCACGACTACATGTCTTACGAATTGTGCAAGTTTTGTCGCACAGCTTCAGCAGCGAATTAGAAGCACGTTCTCACTCGCTGCACGACATGAATCCTGAGACACTGAAACTCAAAATTTGCAGAGCGGCGAAGGCCGTGGCCAGCACTGAGAAGTCCCGCCCTGACGAGCGTGGTCGCAGTACTGTGGGGAAGTGTGCCTCGGGATGTGATCAGAGACTCGCCTTCTTCCAGCTCTTCTTGGCTTCCTGCTGCTCGCCTTGATAGATGCTCTGACCCCACGAGCTGCAAGCTTCCCATGAACGGAAAGGCATTGGCGGCTGTAGGCCCGGTCAACTTTGTTGAGCGAACCGGAACTGTGTCCCCTGATCAGCCAAAGATCTCCGCCGACGATAGCGCTGGCACCGCCGCCTTCGTCCAAAGTCTTTGCGAGAGCCTGGCAAGTCTGGGCGTGCTGCTGCTACGACGTAACCACGACCGTGTAAGCTACAAGTACCGGTGGATTGTGGAACCAGCAAAGCTTTCTGCCACCAGGCAGCGCAACTAGGACAGCTGGCACTGGGCGCTGGCCGAAGCTGCTCCGCGCGCACCTTGGAAACACTGCACCTCAAATAAGGTCAAGGTTCCATCATCCGTTGTGCCGGTGCTTCACTCACGTTTTACATTGGCCATGTGTCTTTGCTGGAGAAAACCTTCGAACGACGCTTTTTTTGTCCTCAAGAAACAGCGGTCGCTTCTTCATGCATCTTGCTTTTCTCCAGGAAGAGGACGTATGCACCATCATTGAGTGCCTCATCTCCAATCCTGTGAAAAAGACATTGGGTTTGAGATGCCAAGGCTTTGTTGATGTCTCTCACTTCGTGCAAGCCATTAACAACAAGGGCTGCCGTGACTCTTTGCTTGTGCCTGAGACACTGCCCGCTGCACTACGATTACTTCCTGCCCCACTGGACAGGGGAACCCAGGTAATTGCGCAAGCTCCGTGCTGTCCTGCTCGCGTCCACTCGCCGGACGCTAGAATCGTCAAAACACCACCAAGAGCACGATGGCGGATGCCAGCAGTACCTGTGGGACTGATGAAAGCTTACCGTGCAAAACTTGGTTACAAACAAGTTGCTGTGATCTGCCACTTCGTGTGGGCCGGGGCACGCGACGTAGTGGCCACAGAAGGGGGTGGCGCCCAAATGCTGCACCACGGCATATAGCTCGTAAGTCGTGCCATTTTGCTTTGCCCCCTCCTCCAGCATGCATGACACATCCAAAGGCTTTAATCCTCGCGGATTGTCCGGGTCGGCTTGAAGCTCTATTCGAGTGGAAATCCTCAGAGCTGACACTGCAACTACGACGATTACATGCGCATACTCAAAGGCTCGGAAGATTTCTGAGGCCGTAGCTTGGAGCACTGAAGGCCGCAGTTTGCGAAGCTGCGGGCCCCTCTCCCGAATCTGGGAAGTCTACCTCCCCAGCCTTAGCAACCAGTTCAATGCAGCACTTTCTGGAGATGCGGACGCATGCGGCTACGGAGCGTCTTAATGGTGGCCCTGTGTCCCCGGTGGGCAAACGCCTGTCAGCTGCTGTGTTCAGGTCAAAACCGGGCTTCTTGACCAATCACTCACAGAATCTCACAGATTGAAGGTGTGGGGAGATGCTTCGTGCTAGCCAGCTCCCCCAAACATGTGGTTAAGACTCTGACTCAAGACGGCTAAAAGAACTTCAAGCTGCGCTATTGAAAAGAACTTTCGCTCAAAGACTCACTCGAAGCATTGCAACTTCCTCTGTTGTCTTGACAAGATCGTCCGTTTCGCCATAGTGAGTCAGCACCAATGCAAGGTTACACCTCCTTGTGCATCACTACACCGGGGCTCCGGGTCTGTGGCCTTTGGCGTTCTGCCTCAATGCGGGCATCGCGCTCGCGGCGGAAGTTGGCGTCACGCTCCTTGCTGGTGCAAACAACTTGTTTTTGCTGACTTGGTCAGAGTGAAGCACATGATCTGCAGAGGGGGAATCTTGAGCGACTGCTTTGTTGGCTCCTGCATGTAATCGAACCACGTTCCACTGCATGCCGAATCTCCGTGCAGAAGCTCTGCAGCGAACGGCCGAGTCTCCTGCAGAGCATGCGCCTGAAGCTCCGCATGGCGAGAGGCAGCGAGCTCCGGCCCGAGGGCCGCTGCATCGGCCTGGAAACCTGACGCAAAAGCTGAAGCTGATCTGAAGGAAATTGCTGTCATCCCTTAGGGTCGCTGTGGCTCATTAACCGCGCAGACCCTGCAAGAGTGTTGCATGTGGCTTATGAGCAGCACCTCTCCCTATCACTACGTCCAGGGCTGCTTGGCAATGTGCATTCCCTACTCAAACTCGCGAGCCCACGCCTACTAGCCTGAAGTAGAGCTCTCAAGATTGAAGCGTGGCAGCGGTCGCCAACTGGCTGGAAGCCGGCCCACTGCAGCAGCTCTGGGCCCCCGTCCACCTTGATGGTCGGCATGCTGGTAGTGGTTAGTTTGGTTGTGTCTGTGACAGATTGCTTAAGGTGCAAAACGGCTGTGCTGACTTGCAGTCGGACCGGAACGTCCTAAAATAGTCGCCTAAAAGCTCACAAACGACTTGCAGCCAAAGAGGCTTCAAGGACATCTGAGCGGAGGCTTTTGGCAGTGGCGCTGATCGAACGCAGTTTGGCATCATCGGGTGAATCTCGAATCCGCTCCAAGACTCTCAACAGCAAGCCGTAAAGCCTGACGGCTGCTAGCACCACTTCTGCACGCTGGCGGTAGGTAAACTTGCTAAACCCTTGCATGCCACGGCTAAGGGGTGCCAAGCATCTTCTCCTGTTGCTCCCACGAAAGCCTGGCAGTCCTAAGTTCCGGGCAGAATCGCAGCTACACTGGCCCGAAATTTACATAATATGTGGAATAAATACCGCTGGCCATCTCGAACTGGCTACAGTGCACGATTCGAATGCCAATTGCTGCTTCTTCGCCACTCCAGCTTCAAGACAATGCATATGCAAGCGCTCAAACTACACATCCACGATTCAATGTTCTCATCTTGAGGGCCTAAGGCCTGAGGGTATTTGCGTCGAAGTGTGTGTGCGTGTGTGTGTGTGTGTGTGTACACGCCTGATCGAACATGGTGTTTCTCTCTGCAGGGGGACGGAGGGACTTCGGAGGGGCTCTGTCCAACGAGGCTCCCCTCCACACTCCAGGAAAACGTACCTGCATGCAGGTACGCCTACCCCCACGGATCTTCGGTCTTGCATGCCATTCCTGGTGTCTGGAATGCTTACGAAACGAAGCTGTCTTCAAATCCTTTGCTGCTCTTCTGCTTCTTTGATTCATCGTTGTGTCCTGTCACATTATGGTCTTCGCAGTCACCCTTGCCAAGACAGTGCACGTGTGTGTGTGTGTGTGTGTGTGTGGCATACTTGAGGACGTGGAATTCCGAAGGAGGGCCCACTATGTGCAGGTGCTTAAGCTTTTTCGCGTTAGCGCTTTTAACGTTTTATCCAAGCAGCCGCTGCAGTGGTGTCATGTCTGCCAGATCTGCGGTGCTTGTGACGGCAGCTGCAGCTTCTGACAGCGTGAAGGGGACGAGTCACAAGGTATCGATAAGCCCTGCAGATAGATAAGACACCATCAAGAGCGAAGCAACAGGATGCAACAGGCAATGCGCATCAAAACTCGCATCCCCTTTTGGCCTGTTTGCTCATCTTCTGCATGTGCCGCACGCGCCACTGGCTCGGCAGCTTTGGCGACCTGGTCGTGCCGGACTGTGCTGGAGCAATGCACGAAGACATCACAGCATGAATGGACATGTTGCGGAGTTGGGCCTTGTGGACCGATGCATCACGGTTTACGCACCCTCAGGTGCCTATGTCGCTTTGTGCACCAGGCCGTTTCATGTGCGAATGTTCTACAGCCACATCATTTTGCTTTGCTCGGGGTTTTGGGCGGTCCCAGCCCCCGCAACCCGCGCAGTTCGCGCTACCCCATCCAACATTTTGTGGGATGAGCTCGGACTGTACAGATCAGCTGGTGCCTCGTCAGCGACATGTCCATCTCTCTCTCTGTCTTACTTGCTCCTCTTCTCCCAGGCTCCCAGGCATAAGGGGCGAGTTAAGCCCCCCGGGCACCAGGCCCGCCCGTTGTTCGGGATTTTTTAGGGGAGTGAGATGGAATGGATCATCGACCGAGCCTTCTCTCTTCTTCTCCCAGGCATGTCAACAAAAGTAGTATTACAATCTCTCTCTCTCTCTCTCTCTCTCTCTCTCTCTTCTTCCGCCGGGCACGAGGGGCTGTTAAGACCCCTCGGCCACTACGGCCCCCCCCATCTCTCTCTCTCTCTCTCTCTCTTTCTCTCTCTCTTTCTCTCTCTCTCTCTCTCTCTCTCTCTCTTTCTCTCAACTCTCTCTCTCTCTCTCTCTCTCTCTCTCTCGCCGTGTGTAAGTTGAAGCGGGGTTTGGTTGGGACCCCAGACCACTCACGTTATATTGTGCCCAAAAGGGTTAACGTTACCGAGGGGGTGTGTGCCTGTTACGTACAGGCCGGCTTTCAGCACTCACACTCGGACAAGCGCCGGCTTTGTTTCAGGGAACCGCCACCCCACAAGTTACATTTAGGTTACAAGTTTTTGCTACGGTCGGCGTGTTCCCTTTATGGAAAATACGCATCATTGGGAGACGCCCAGGGTTGGCCGCGACACACGGTTTTTGTGGCAGTTTCCGCCCGAGAGACTGTCCGTCTCTCTCGTGCTTCCTTGCTTGCCTTATTCCACCTGTCAGCAGTGTTCTGGAAATCAGATTTGGCAGCGGCGTGTGGCCACCGTCGGGTATAAGTATAAGCAACATTCACTGTCCGGTGCTATTTTGAGAGGGTGGGCTCGGCCAAAAAAGGCGGTTCGAAGGGGGAAAAGTATGGAACCAGCCAGCACTACGAAGCCTTCTCTCTCTTTTTCTTGCTTGCTTGCTCTCTCTCTCTTGCTTGCTTGCTTGCTTTCTCTCTCTTGCTTGCTTGCTTGCTTGCGCAGGGGTATGGGCTCCCGAGGGAACCCTGGCCCGAAGGCCTACTGTACCCCCCCACGGTCCGCGCGCTCCAAGGACTGTACGGCCCCTTCCGGGGATGAGAGAATCACTCGTTCCCCCGACTGAACTTGTTCGACCCCTCCCCCCAAAACACACCTGCTAAAACCATGACCGTATGAAACCTGCAAGTTCAAGTCGGGTCCTCCGAGGTCTCTCTCTCGCTCTCTCTCTCTCTCCCTCTCTGTCTGCTGAGACAAACCAGGACAAAAAAACGGAACAAACGATCACATGTGCAGTGATCCGAATCGGGCAAGTTCTTACTCGTCGGAGCCTCCGTCCTAGAAAGTGGTACAAGCTCTTCTGTGCGACTGCAGGGTCGGATGTAGACACGGAGCCTGGGACCTTCAGGACGAGGCAGGACAGCACCTCCTCAAGGTTCGGAAGGCCAGGCCTTGACCGGCGGCTCCGGAGTCGGGCTCTGGCTCTGGCCCGCAGTGCCCGCAGCTGCAACCCTCTCGGTCACAGGCAAAGTGGGCTCCTGAGAAGGCAAAGTCGGCGTCTTCGGTGCCGTTGCAGACTTCGCCACGCAACGGGCTTGCATGGACTTGCATGACATCGTCCTGCGGTGCCTTCCACTGAAATCGCTTCAGATGAAGCTGGAGGACCTTGCATAACCCGCACTTCTTCGAAACTTTGCATCAGGAACAACCCGCAGACGGAAATTTGCAGTGTCTACCAGCACACGCCAAGAAAACTGTGATGACGATCCCGTGGTTGCAAATGAGGTGCATTTGGCAGCCGTCGCAGCATGAAGCGCCTGACAAATGCCAACAGGCGCAAGACTCACAGATTCCGTTTCGTAAACTGGATCTCTGAAGCAAGTGCATATCTTTTCTGCTACTGCTACTGCAGTGTATGTACACAAAAAGGTATCCACAAGAACACTCGAACGCAAACACACACACACAAACACATACACACACACACACACATACACGTGTGTGTGTACATATATGTATAAATATCTATATTTATATTTGGTATATGCATATACGTACACACACACACATATATATATATATTTATATTTATATTTATATTTATATTTATATTTATATTTATATTTTTATATTTATATAACTATATATTTATATACTTATATATTTATATATTTACATATTCACATATTCATATATTTATATATTTATATATTTATATATTTATATATTTATATATTTATATATTTGTATATTTATATATTTATATATTTGTATATTTATATATTTATATATTTATATATTTATATATTTATATATTTATATATTTATATATTTATACACTTATATACTTATATATTTATATATTTACATATTCATTTATTTATATATTTATATATTTATATATTTATATATTTATATATTTATATAATTATATATTTATATATTTATAAATTTATATATATTTATATATTTATATATATTTATATATTTATGGTCACCAGCCAAGATCCACACCGTCTGTGTTCCATTCTCTCACACATAACTAAACGTTTCGAACCTACCTTCTACATGTGCAGAAAGTGCTGTCAATACCAGCGCGAACGGCTGCTCTGCAGAACAACTTCTTTGCTCATCGCATGCTTGCAAGTTCTTTCCATCGAACATTTCACACACCAGGATCTGGTTCCGAAAAGCAATGACGCGTATAAGCAACGAGAAACGAACAGAAACGACATTACTTGTGTTGTTGGGAAAGGAATGTCTGATGAACAACAGTGCGGTATAACACTTTCTAAATCTTCGAGTTCTACAGTGTTGCACTGTCACCAGAAATTTGGTATGGAAAAAACGATATTCAGGGACAGTACAACACTTTTGTAGCTGCAGTGCTTTGAACTGTTGGGCTGTCCGTTTCATTTGGTCCTTAACCCTTTGCGCCGAACCAGAACCACAGGGTTTAGATCAACAAGGCTTATATGAAAGGAACCCAAAATCTCATTTTTGTATGTGGTTGGCTTTATTTGTGTTTAAAAGTGTTTTTTTGTATTTAAAAGTATTGTTTTGTATTTAAAAGTTTTTTAAATAGGTTTTTTTGTGTTTTACAGTTGTTAAAATTCTTTTATTTTATTTTTGGTGTAAAAAATACATGTTTGTGAATTTTGTTTCTGAGTGAGTCAATTGGCTTCCTGTTGTTCTACCTGGTTTCCTGCTGCTGTATGTCTACAAAATTGTTGTTTATTTGTTGTTGAAGTTAATAATTTTTAATATTTAATCTTTTTAAATAGTTTTGGGTTGTGATTGAACAAAGAAGGGAGGCCGTAGTGACATGTTGACTTGCCTTGAGATCTTGCCCTTACCCACGCGGATCGACTGCCCTTCTCGGTTCGTGGGCACCGTTGGCCGGGTGTCAGGTGTTGAGTCGATGGTACCTGGACCGCCTTGGGGCCAACGTGCCAGGGCGGTGGCATATGACACCCGGGCACATGGGCTAAAGTGCCGGGTGGGGTGGTCCAGTGGTTGTGGCTTGATCTGTTCTCCCAACCAGGAGGGGAGGCCATCCATGCTTGTCACGTTAGTTAGGGAGCCTTGCGACTTGGAGCGACAGAGGCAGAGTGCCACCTTACCCACACGGATCGACTGCCCATCTCGGTTCGTGGACACCGTTGGCCGGGTGTCAGGTGTTGTCGATGGTACCTGGACCGCCTTGGGGCCAACGTGCCAGGGCAGTGGCATATGACACCCGGGCACATGGGCTAAAGTGCCGGGTGGGGTGGTCCAGTGGTTGTGGCTTTTTTATTTTTCTCCCAACCAGGGGGGGAGGCCATCCATGCTTGTCACGTTAGTTAGGGAGCCTTGCGACTTGGATCGACAGAGGCAGAGTGCCAGTCGAGCCTCTCGAGGTTGCCTTACTTAAGTCCCTGCCCCATCGGGGTTGCTCCCCACACCGTTGGCCAGGTCTAACTACGTATCGCTTTTGAGAGTTCCTGGGCTCTTTAGCTCCTGCACTAAGTTTGGATATATATATATATATATATATATATATATATATATATACATATATACATATATACTAGGCCATGCCAGCTTGGGGGACCCCACCAGGTCGGTTGCGAGCTTCGGAATCCGCAAAATGTCCCTTCTTTCTGGTCTCTTCTTTCTTTCTGGTCTCTATTCTTTCTGGTCTCTTCTTTCTGGCGTGCAGGATCTCGTCGTCCAAGTTGGTCCTGCCACATGCTCGCAATCTCAACAACTGCAGGAAACGGTATGCCCTGTGTGCCTTCCCGGAAGTGGATCTCGTCGGCGAAACTGGTCCTGAGACAAACTCGCATACAACATGTGCCGGAATGTCTCCCTTCCCGCCGCTGCGCCTTGGCGCACCAGTGCAAGGTGCGAAGACGCCTGGGGACAGGTTGTCAGTGACATGCTTGTCCACTCCACTCCAGTGCATGTGTTGAATCAGCCAACGGGTATGCCCTGTGTGCCTTCGTGGATCTCGTCGGCGAAACTGGTCCTGAGACAAACTCGCACTCGCAATCTGAACAACACGTGCCGGAATTTCTCCCTTCCCGCCGCTGCGCCTTGGCGCACCAGTGCAAGGTGCGAAGACGCCTGGGGGCAGGTTGTCAGTGACATGCATGTCCACTCCACTGCATGTGTTGAATGAGCCGTCTTGTTTGGCATTGCATGACTGCTTTTCTGTGAACAAGGCTCGCTGCCTATTGTCCAGGGCAGACAGCTTCGCGGTCCACCCCATTGTTTGGCATTGCATGACTGCTTTCTGTCAAGGCTCGCTGCCTACTGTCCAGGGCAGACAGCTTCACGGTCCACCCCATCACACAAAAACTCCCAGAAATCATCACGCTCTGAGCAAAGCCCATAGAGAGCTATGTACTTCTTGTGCAGAGCCTGGGGCATGAAGGCTCTCATGTGAAGCTGTGGTCGCGACCTGGCTCCCCTCTTCGTTTTATACTCCGTGAACTCCTGCTCCAGCTTGCTGATGCCCCGGACCACTTTCAAGCCAGACCCAGGCAGTTCAGCTGCACATTTCAGCAACGCTTCTAAGCCAGGAATCTCCCCATACAGGTCGGAGTGCACATAGACCAACCGCTTTTTTTTCAAGTCACACTTGAACTGGATGCCGGTCGGGCCATTTGCTGGAAGCTTGAGGAGAGCAGCTTCTTTGCAGAGGAAAGCTGACGCAAGGCGGGCTGCCACACCAAACAGGCCTTTATCGCCAGACAGCATGCCCTGGCAAAGGACAAGGTGTGTGACAGCCCGCCTTGTCGACATCTTGTGCGCAACCTTCAGGAAGTTCGCCACACCAGTTTCCGGATCGCTTCCCAAACTTACCACTTTGAAGCCAGATTTGTGCAGAATACCGGCTGCCCTGGAAGACTCATCAGCCACCAGCGCAACTCCAGGGGTTGGCCGTTCCACTTTCTCTTTGGGCACCTCCCCCCACCGCTTCTCGTGACCCACGACGGCTTTGGGCTTCTTGAGCTTAACTTCTTCCGGATTGTGGATAGCATCATGGTGTTTCCTCTTGCGGTTCTCCGTCTTCCCTGCTCGCTTCTCAAACTGAGCATAGGCATCTGTCTTCAACCCATCAAGAACCGCATCATCATGCGATGGGATAGGAACCTTCAGAGTAGGTTGCGCCAACATCTTCTTCCGCTCCTCCCCACTTGCCTTGCACATGCGGCCGATGGCAGCTTCTCGGTCACGAAGGAATTCCTCAACGGAGGCCGGCTGCTTGTCCAAAACCCAACCCGACTCCTATAGGCACGGAACGGTAGTAAAACAGACACAAACAAAAGAATGTACCATCTGTGCCCAGTGTCCGCCTCGGGCTGGGGTTGTCCACGACGTTTCCGTCCGGCCTTGATGGCCTCCCCATCCTTTGCGATCCCGGCGTCACGCCGCTTCTTGCGAGCTTTGCGCGCGAGTTTGAAACCAAACTTGGCGTGGTATCGCTTCACAATGTCAGGCAAATACTGGGTGATCGGTTTTGTAACAACCTCCCCAGCACTATTCTTCGTCCTCTCACACATCTCATCCACATCGGGGGCCATGATATTTGTGATCATCACTTCTTCCAGTGTTGGGTTCAGGAGAGCTGCACGTTGTTTGCTCTCTTGCAAAGGCACTTGCTTCAAGTCACGTTCCACCTGTGTGGTGCACTCGGTGAACCCAATGCACAACGAGACGGCCTCCCTTGCATGAGCATATTCAGGAAAATCAAAGGAAGCTCTGCCCCACGCCTTCCGCTCATCCCGACAACTCTGAAAGTGTGCCTTTGCTGCAGGTGCCAGCTTGCGAAGCTCTGCAATTACACTCCCCGCATCCAACTTGGCAGCCTCGGCGATGGCGGTCAACTGTTTCTCCTGGGGTGCACGCACAAACTGTCCCGAACCCCTGTTGACACTACTAAACCTTAAACTGCCCCAGCCTGCCCCCGAACTCCCTATTGGCCCTGGGGGCCTGCCCCCGAACTCCCTATTGGCCCTGGGGGGTTTTTAGGGTTCTAGGTTTAGGGATACAGACGACGAGGAACTGCAGTCTTCCTTGACTGATCATGATCTTCCGCGTCCAGTGGAGAGGGAAGAGCAAAAGCCACAAATTGCTTCCCCCAACAATAGGCCGGCCTAGTGGCCTCGAGCATTCTTCGGATGGCCTGGCAGATGAGCCTCATCCGATTCAGAGGCATGTATAGTTCATCGTTGGCTGCGAGCTCCCCCAAAGAAAGCACCAAGGCTTTCTTCTTCAAGAAAAGCAACTTGGATGAGCTCAAAAACTTCAAAACCTGCCCTGTAAATGTATTTGCGGCTGTTTTTGTAAGGATGAGGCCCTCCCCAAACAAAACCAGCAATCTCGCCAGAAACATCTTCTCTGCCTTCTCGATGTGCAGGGGGTCAGAAGCCGCAAAGTCGGACGAGTGCACGAGCTTTGAATGCTCATGACACAAGTCTGCCATCATGCCTCCCAAGACAAGCCGCCAAGTGTTCTCCCCAGTCATCTCCTGAAGGATTAGCTGCGCGGCAGCTTTCCGATCCTTCTCTCCCCCTTCAGCTTCAGCAGCCAGGATTTCGAAAACCTGGCGAAGCCTGACAGCGATGCGGCCTAATGGCACCTTGCGAGAGTCAAACCTCTGGGGCGCGAAGCCGAAATGAGAAAGGATTTGCACCCCTTCATCCCGCTCGGCCTCCTTCATGAAGCTCTGTAAGCGAGTGCTTGTCCGCAGCAGCTTGGACAAGCTGGCGGGATTCTTCCCTGAGACCAAAAGGCGATCCACCGCGGCGCATTCGCTGTCCGCAATGATTGCGGCCTTCAGCGCGACCGTACACCCGTGCGACGGGTCGGTGTTTTGAAACACCAGGTTCGGAAAATCTCCCCGATACAGCTTCAAGCCAGCCTCCATCTCATCCGGCGCAGCATCTGTTGCGAAAAAACGCAGAATCTTCTGTGCATGAGTGAAAGCCTCCCCTGTATGGCAGTTCTTTGCGACGGCCTCCCGAACCAAGATGCGCTTCGCTTCAGCTGAGTGATCAGACTCAAGCTCCCCAACCGCAGCAACCCTATCGACAAGCCAAGGACCTCTGTCTCCAGACCCCATGCTCTGCACACCCCGAAGAGCTTCCAGCTGAACTCCTCGGGGCCACTTCCACACAACCAGTCGTAGGCGGGAAGACAGGTGCGAACCGAGCCCATCCTGCACGATACCGCCTGTTGTAGCTGCAGCCAACAGTCGTGCTGTCGCCTCCCCCTCACGACTCGCCATCGTGCTTGTGAGCTGTCGTGATACTTGCGGCCCTATGCTTCCATGGCCCAAGGCCGCACCCGACAGCTTGGCTGTTTTGCAGAAGTCACTGAAGGACTCAAAGCTTCCTCCTCGCTTGAGCAGGGTACGTTGGAAGAGGATGTGCGCGAAGGTCAACTGGCCAGCGTCCGGCTCCGTGGTCTTCACCTCCACATCCACAGCCGCAGCATATTTCTGCAGCGCTGCCAGGTGCCGTGGCGACTCCCCATGCCGGCGAATGTTGGACAGCTTCGCCCCAGCTTTACAGCGCCCAAAAAGCCCAGGCGTTTTGGTCTTCATACAGACCAAACATCCCAAATGCCACGGAAGGCGCAAAGGTTTCGGTTGCTCCACCAACCAAACTATTGGCAACCCTGTCTTGGGGTGCGGAAATGTGGCATCTTCTTCCCACTTCCGACGATTGTGGACATACCTGCATCTCTCACAATCTTTGATGTGGGCAGGATACCCATGTTGCTCCAGATGCTCTTCTGTAGTCTGCAAAAGACCTCCCAAGGGACGCCCCGGCACAGAAGATTGATCACTGACATCGCCATCCTGGTCTCCCTGCCCAGGCTCTTCATCAGAAGCAACAGCGGATACCCCCTTACTGCTTGAAGCAGCCTCCCTGCCACGTGCGACAGTCGTCTCCTCCTCCTCGCTGTCATTTTGACTCTGTGAGTCTGAATCGCTGCTTACTGTCGTGTGCGAAGCATCAGCTGATGATGCACTTCCCGACGATGATGAGGACGATGACGAGGTCATATTGCGAAACAGCTGTCAAGGCATGTACAACAAGGTGCAATGCAGAATCACAGTTCAGGCGAAGGCATTGCAAATACGCAAGGCAACAGCCCCTCGCCTCGAATCTGCGTCAGCATCAGCGGACCAATGCGAGGCCTAGGAACTAGAATGATTCGAAGCTACGACATGGGCTGCTCTGGGGCTGCTGCCAATGTTTTCTCCGCACGTCCTGTGCAAAGATGCGTTTCCATCCCGCCCAAGATGTGGTCCCGTCCGAAGCAACAACAGCACATCAGAGAGGTTTTTTTTGGTCTGCTGCCGGCTGCCGAATGTGTATCTGCTGCACATCGTACTCCCCAGGCTCAGGGTAGGACCTTGTCAGTATTCAAGGTGACTCATACTGGCAAGCACCCACACAATGCGCACAAGGGGCTGTTCCGGTACGTTAACCTCGTACCGGCAAAGGAATCCTCACATGAGGGCCGCAATACAAAATACAAGAAGACGGGGAGGACGCTGAATCTCTCAAAGTCCTGTATGGCTCCACAGCCCAGGGGCCAAGCACTAGGCTGACAATGTGACAGCAGCAGCAAGTTTAGGGTTTATATATAGTTTAGGTTACAGGGTTTAGGAGGAGATGTGGCACAGGTCGCTTGAGAGGAGATTTACTCGGCCGCGCCACATGCCACGCAACTGCCAGTTAAAGTCTCCAGCAAGGAGTTGTTTTGCCCAGCAGAGCTGCCACTTTCTAAAAAATGCGGGTACGCCGCAGGGAATCGCAGAGTCTCGTATGGTTGCCGTGAATGCTGAAGACAACAAACAGCCCCCCAGACTGAGCCTACACGGGATCATTAGCCTACTGTTGCAGGGCGGAAGCCTCAGCACAAACAGCCCCCCAGACTGAGCCTGCACGGGATCATTAGCCTACTGTTGCAGGGTGGAAGCCTCAGCACTAGCACTGGGGCGAGGCGCCTTGGACGGCTTCTCCCCAGACTCCTCTAGATGCGCGATCTTTCGCCGAAGATCCTTTTTCTGCTTCTTCATGACCATGATCTCGTCTTCAATGCCGTGGAGCTCCCCTTGCAAGGAGACTTTGCGCATGGCGGCCTTTTCCTGGTCCCACGTCACCCGGGTGCCACACTTCAGCTCGATGCTTAGATCCACCCCCTGCACATCGTACTCCCCAGTCTCAGGGTAGGCCCCGATATAGTAGACCTTGTCAGTATTCGAATATCAGGTGACTCACACAACACTGGCAAGCACCATTGCAGACACGATGCGCGCAACGGACTGGCATCACGGTTCCGGTACGTCAACGGCGGCTGCTTGTTGAAAGAAAGCTTTTTCAATTGGAACCTCATACCGACAATTACAGTAGCCTCATAGCAGTTCTCGCATGAGGCAGTATGACAAATCGGCAGCCAAGATGCTGATTCTCCTTCCCGTGGCTTTGCAGCCAACGCAGCAAACCCAAGACCTCGGCGGAGGTTGTGAAGACATGGATGTTCTTGTGCTTTTTGCAATCCTCCCCGTCTTTCGGCACGAGCGAATTTTTCAGGATGACCTCCGTGGTCCCGTCGTCGACGGGAAAAAGGGGCCACAGCCCCAGATTCTTCTGGTCCTCGACTTTGCACTGTATGTTCACTTTCATGAGAACCCCCTCTGCTAGATCGGAGTCCAGAATCTGGGCATCGATTGTGAAGGTCTCCTCCCCCTCCTCCCCGCGGCTGTACCAGCCGCGCTCCACGGCCAAGTGCGGGTTAAGAACTTTCACTTCAACCACGTACCAATCCTGCTTTTCCATGTTCACAAGCAGCTCCATGACTTTTTGGCGATTGTCCTTGCGGTACACAAGTCCCCTTGGCTTCGAACTCCCCAAGCTCGCGTTATAGCCCAGCCTTGCGCGCAGCTGAGGCTGGGAGGCTGCGTGGGTTTAGGGTTTGGGTTTTAAGGTTTGCAAGAATGCGTTGCCAAGAAGCTTCCTCCCCTGCTCCCGGGTCGACCATGTCACAGCAGCACCAATCGAGGGGTGGCACAGGTACTCCTCAACCCCTGGACCCTGGTACAGTGTATAGCCCAACGTAGCCATGACGCTAGCAAGCTGGCCGCAGGCGAAGCTGGAGGCAAGACACGGATTTTGGATGGAGTGCTGCAACAGGACATGCAACTGCGGGTTTGTCGGCACACAAGCGGCAGAACAGCGGCAGAACTCAAGTGGCAGAACATGAAAACTTGATTTTATTTTTTGGTCAGCAAGAGCAAAGCTGCCTTTAAAAATCGGGTGTACCGCAGAGAATCGCAGGGATCTCGGTATCCGGGTGTACTGCAGAGAATCGCAGGGATCTCGGTATGGTTGCTGACTCCCCAGAGATCGGTACGGTTGCTGCGAGTGCTTACGACTTACGAAAAAACAGCACCCCAGACCAAGCCTGCACGGTTCTACTGCTGCACGGCGGAAGGACTGGGGCGAGGCACCTTGCGCGGCATCTCCCCAGACTGCAGGGCGGAAGCCTCAGCAGTGTGGCCAGGCACCGGCGGCATCTCCCCAGACTGCAGGGCGGAAGCCTCAGCAGTGTGGCCAGGCACCTTGGGCGGCATCTCCCCAGACTCTACGTCCGCGAGCTTTCGGCGAAGATTCTGCTTGCGCTCTTCCAGGAACATCAACTGCGTTTCAATGCCCTCCAGCTCCCCTTGCAAAGACTCTTTCCGCATTGCAGTCGTTTCTTCTTCCCAAGTCACCGGGGTGCCACACTTGAGCTCGATGCTGACAGCCACTTGCTGCTCTTGGTACTCCCCGGTCGGCGGGTAGGCCCCGATATAGTAGACCTGAGTTTCAGGCGAGTTCGTCACGCAAACCTGGCAAGCACCCACCAGTGCAGATACGATGCGCAGAAGGGGCTCGCAGCACGGTTCCGGTACGTCAGCGGCGGCTGCTTCTGGAAAGAGAGCTTGATGAAGTCGAACCTCGTAGGCAAAGGCAGTCCTCGCCCTCGCATGAGGGCCACAGTATGAAATAACGGCAGCCAAGATGCTGAGTCTCCTTCCCATGGCTTTGCAGCCAACGCAGCAAAGCCAAAACCGTAGCGGAGGTTGTGAAGACATGGATGACAGCCTGCTTGTTGCTCTTGTAGTCCTCCCCGTCTTTCGGCACGAGCGAGTTTTTCAAGATAATCTCCGCGGTCCCAGCATCAACGGGGAAAATGGGCCACTTCCCCAAATTCGTCTCGTCCTCGACTTTGCAGTCTATGTTCACTTTCATTATGATCCCCTCTGCCAGATCGGAGTCCAGAATTCTCGTATCGATTGTGAATGTCTCCTCCCCGTGGCTGCACTTGTACAAGCCCTTCTCCACGGCCATGTGTGGGTTCAGAACTTTCACCTCAACAACGAAGAACTCCCTTTTCTCATAACCCAAAAGCAACTCCATGACTTCCTTGCGATTCTCGTTTTCTTTGCGGTACGCAAGTCCCCTTGGCTTCGAACTCCCCATGCTCGCGTTATAGCCCAGCCTTGCACGCAGCTGAGGCTGGGTGGGTTTAGGGTTTGGGTTTTAAGGTTTGCAAGAATGCGTTGCCAAGAAGCTTCCTCCCCTGCTCGCGGGCCTCCCATGTCACAGCAGCACCAATGGAGGGGTGGCACACGTACTTCCCAAACCCTGGACCATGGTACATTGCAAAGCCGGACGTAGCCATGACGCTGGCAAGCTGGCCGAGCAAAGCTGGAGGCAAGACACGGATTGTGGAGTCCAAACGCTGCAACAGGACACGCAACCCCGCGCTTTTGGGATTATGGGTGCGTTAACAGCGAAGCAGAGTGCACAAGTTCAGTGCACAAGTGTGGTCCTGCTCGCCCAGAGCATCCGCCAACAAGTCTTCTCCGCAGTTCCTGGGCAGCAGCACCGCAGTTCCTGGGCAGCAGCACAATCAATATCGAATCGATCCTGGTCCCTCAGAGCATCCACCAATATCGAATCGAAACATTGGACAAGCACCAACTTCTCCTGGGCAGAAGCTTGGTCCTGTTTCCACGCCCTCGGCCTCACCCTAAACCCTACCTAAACCCTTCCGCGAGCAAGACGACAATCGCATCGGACTCAGTACGAGCCTTGTGGCTCTCCCCGTAGTCAGAGTGCACATCAGTCCTGGGAGAGTTCAGCTCTGCATGGCATGCTCTCCCCTGCAGAAGCCCCAACCTTGCGTAGCTCCTCCCCGTTCGGAGAACGAAGGACTTCCCTAAGCTCCGCATGGAAGCATTTGCCCATAGTCCTGAAGCAAGGAACAAGGCCCTGCACCATTGCAAGATTTGCAACAAAGCTCTGCACAGCATGCAGTGCATTTTTTCGTCCAGATAAAGCCTGCTCACCTGTTGTCCTCCCATTGCTTTGTGATCTTCTCAACCATGGCCGCCTGCTCACTTGTTCTTGACGTTGTGCTCCCATTGCTTTGTGATCTTCTCAACCATGGCCTTCGGATAGAAGGAAGTGCTGGCTGTCAGCTGTCTCCCCTGCACTGTCTCATGGGAAAACTTCTGCTTGTGCATCTTGTTGCACGTTCTTCCCAATTGCTGGAACTCGTCATCCGTGCACATGATTGTCCAAGGCTTCTGAAGCAGCCGATTTGTGTTTTCGTTCTTCAGCCCATAGCAGCAACCGTCGATTTTGACCTGCACCAATGCAGCAGCAAGAACCCGGGTGAAGATCTTATTGTGTATTTGAAGTTTGCTGCCCTGCCTTGTGACACGGTTTCCCCTTCTGCACAAGCCAACGCTCGAACTTGACAAGTTTTCGTAGCTTCCAGCCCGTACATCTCCTTGGCCACTCGAAGTAGATCTCCCCACCGTAACGGACTACTTCCCGGGCGATCCGCAGACACTGGACCAAGATCTGGCGGGTCCAACGTCTATTCACCCGCAACCTCTTCATTCGTGCTTTGGACTTCTTCTGCATGTTCTGCATGATGCTGTAATATGTGCATGGAACTGAAATCCAGCAGCGGCCAGGAAGCTCTGTGGCAACACGACGCACCACTCTGCGTCCCACCTCCGTGAGCGAGAGGTCTGACCCCGTCTCAGGTGCGAAGCGCTCTGCCGTGAATCCTCGCTGGATCCAAGACGCAGAAAGACCTGACTAACAACACAGCTCAGGAGCTTCCTGCTGGGGCTTAACAACAATGTGCACGAATGAGCCTGAGAAGCGGACGTGAGGTTGGGCTGCAGCACAACTCCCAAAGCAAAGTCGCGTCAGCAGTGTTTTCACACCCAAAAGAAGTGCCTTCTGAATCACTCCCCCCCTCGGCAGTTTCAAAGGAAGCAAAACTTCCCACTTGCTCAGGAACAGTGGAGGATGACGACGAGGTGGAAGAGGATGGCTTCTTCCTTTTCCGGGCAGAAGCGGGCCTTTTCATAGGCATGGCGACCGACCAAAGCAAGCAAGCCTTCTCGGAGCCGGCTCAGACAGCACACAAGTTCGGCGGTGCTTGCATTGATTGAAAGCGAAGAAGAAAACCCACACGGCAGGCAGCAGGCCAGTCCTTGTCCTCTTCAATAACTCCCCAGTCTGAGGAAAAAAAACCTGGCAGGCAGGCCAGTCCTCGCCCTGTTCAACAGCAGAACGCTAAGGGACAAGCTGGGCACCTGGCAGCAGCTTTTCAGTGGCCTTGGCGAAGCAAAGGCCAGTCCTCGCCCTGTTCAACTGCAGAACGCTAAGGGGCAAGCTGGGCACCTGGCAGCAGCTTTTCAGTGGCCTTGGCAAAAAGGGTGACAGTGGAGGCTTCTGGCAGACCCCTAGCCTCCCTTACGAATTCGGGCTTGAATTCGTAAGCGAGGGTTCTGCCAGACCCGTCGCCTACGAATTCAAAATCGATTTTGAATTCGTAGTGGACGGTTCGGAGCTCGTAAGAAGGTCATGAGTACAAACCGAAATACTCGTACGAGGGCAGACCCGTCCGGTACGAATTCAAAATCGATTTTGAATTCGTACCGGACGGGTCTGCCAGAACCCTCCCTTACGAATTCAAACCCCTGGCTTTTGTGCCCGCTGCGAAACAGTAACTGCTTGCCAGATGCTGCGCTTTGGGCGGTTCTGCAGATGCCAAAAGGAAGCGATCAACATGTCTTGCAAGCACTTCCCCGTTGTCTCTACTAGCAGTACAATGTGGCGGAAGTTCGGCTAAATTGTAGCGAGGCAGCCAAGACATGATACGACGCTTCTGGAAAGGTTTTTTTTTGAAACTACCCGGGCGAAGGTGCATTCACTTCTTGGACTTCTTGCTCTTCTTGTCCTTCTTGTCCTTCTTCTTCTTAGATTTCCGGGGCTTCTTCTCCGACTCAACAGTGCTTGCTTCCTCGTCGGGCTCCCCCAGGCTTTCATCGTGATCGTCATCTTCCTCCTCCATCTCCGCATCGTCGTCTTCGGGCGTGGGCTTCACGGCTTTCGCCTTTTTCTTTGGGGTCGGGACCATCCCCAAAGCTTCAGCTCGCTTAACAAGATCACAGCATGCCAAAGTCGCACCCGTCACTGGGAGCTCACTCACAAGTCGCTCCTTCACAACCCGCAGCAACTCCTTCTTGTGCAGCTGCGTCTTCACGATGGCGATGACTGGCGTCTTCATCTCCAAGCAAGCGTAGATGCCACTCCCCATCCCAGGTGTCCCCAAAAGGACAAACTGAGCATTGGATTCGTGCACCATTTCTTTCATGAGCGCCCCAGCCATGTCGTGCGGGAACAGCACAACTTCGTCAGTAGACGGAGCACGAGTCAAGGCCCTCCCCCTCTTGGTGTACTTGCGCTTCCTGAGTTTCTCCTCAGCCTGTGCATCCGGGTTGGTGGCATTCTCCCCTTCGCCGCCATCTGCAGCACTGGTTGCCACGGCCATGCTTGGGTCGGTCATGCTCGAACTCCCCGGAGTGGTCCCGTCGGCCTTGTCCCATAGCTCATAGATGCTCGTGCTCACCAGGCCATGCTCCCGAGCTGCTGCAACTGGCACTCGCAGAATGCTGTCCATGTAGGTCGCACTCCCCGGATCGACAAACATCCTGTTTTTCTTGAAGTCTTTCGGCACCTCTCGGGTCTCTGCAGCAAGCAGAACAGAACACAACAAACAAGAACAATCTCCACAGGGCCTGTCCCTTCCAGAAGAGGAAGAGCTTCTCAGCCGTCCCCGCATTTGCCAATCCGCGCATCCGAGCAAAGTATCCATTCTCAGCCATCTGCCGTGGATCATAATGCAGGTAAAATTCCTTCCCACTCCACTTCAGAGCCCGAGCTTGCTTGAGGATGGCATCCTCGTTGCTTTTGACCTTCCCACTGAAGATGAAGATGACATCACGCCCCGGCGTCATCCTGGGTGCCAGAAGAACAGAGACAGAAGGTCTTTGGGGGAGGGACAATGAACAGTCATGGCTGCCAAGCTTCATGTCATGCACACTCTTTGTGAACTCTTTGAAATCGGCCTCCTCCAAAACGGGCAATCGCTGCCACTTGCTGTGGCCCGGGTAGGGCTTCGTGACTGCAGCAGTCTTGGGGTCGTAGACGGCCATGAACGGTCGATCCGACTTCGCCATTTCCTGGGCCTGCACAAGCGCAAGGAGCTGAGCAGCTGCTGGGGCTTGCTGCTCCAGAATCACTACTTCCACGGAGAGGATCTCTGTCGCCATGCGTTCAGTGTCTCCCCGCAGCTTGTCCAAGGTGTCTTTCAGCTCCGCAGCCTTTTTCTCCTTCTCCTCCTGGTCCACGTCCTTCTTCTCCACCTCCTCCTTCTTCTCTTGCTGCTTCTCCCCGAGCTGCAGGTCGAAGTCGGCCCAGAAGGATTTGAGCTTCCCCAAGTTCTTGGCATGGGCCGGCTGCACGCCTCCCACAGGGGGGCTGCCGAGTAGCCCCCCAACATCCTGACTGAAATCTTTCTCCAGGGTTTGGGGTTTCCGTGTTGCAATAACGGGCTTAGTGGTCTGAACAAAAAATCTCACCCAGCGGTCCTGCGAAAACACTCCTTCCAAGAGGTGTCTGAAGTGTGTCACTGCCAGAATGAGGAGGCGAGGCATACCTCCCATCCAAGAGAGGTCTGGTACCTCTGTGAGTGGGAACTCCTTGTGAAAGGCCCATGGACTGGAGAAGATCGCCTCCCCCCGTGGAAAGCGGGCGCAACACTTCTTCAACAGACTGTGGATGTACTCCCCATACCTTTTGGCAAAGATGGCGAAGCTAACGTCGCCGGCCTTGGCCTTCAGCTCCGCCTGCGACCAGCCTGACTTTCCCCTGAGAAGCTTCATCAAGAGGAACTCACAAACGAAGGAGAACTCCTCCGGCCCGTCGCAGCGCTGCACTACAATCAAGACTTTGGAGTATTCATCGAAAATGGTGTCCCTCCCCAAATGAACCCTGGCGGCTTGCACTGCCGCCCTCGCCCTCGGTGCTGCAGCCAGGCTCTCCCCAATGGTGGTGAGTTGCCCCACCGTGTTTGCTGAGGGGCACCGCTTGGGGTCGTGCCACTTGATGTTGCTCTGAAGCCAGTCTGAGATGTCCTTGTTCTGAACTGCTTTTGTCCCCAATGCAGCGACAATCTTGCTTGCTTTCACAACGACTGCGATCAAGCGTGTCATGTCCATCCCAAAGAATTCGCGGTTGTTTTCCACGCTCTCGACCACCTCCGTGGCCGCCGCAAACTTGGCATCCTCGTTCGGGAAAAACCTGAATGTCATGGGCACATTGCGCCCCAATGCACGCCAGGTTTGCAGCTCGGTCTCAGTGCTCCCCTGCTTCTTGGCTTGCGCAAAGGCATACCAATACGCTGCGACGGCCACGTCGGCCCCATAGCGATCCCACCTGAGAATTTCCATGACCAACAGACAGCCAAAACAGTCCTTGCTGCATATAGTGCTGCCAAGACACGTCCCCTTTGCGGGCATTTCCTCCAGCTGCATCATTGCCACTGGGATTGTCACCCCAGTCGGCCACAGGCGAGGAGCTTGTACCTTCCCATCTGCATTCATGAAAACAGTTGCAGCATATCGCCTCGGAATTCGAAACGAAGAAGAAATTGCAATGGTCACAGTGATGCGGGATGAAACTAAGCGCTTTCTAGGCACTGAATCTGCTCCATGGACATGCTGTCGCCCTCAATGGACTCATTCAGGGGCTTCACCCAGGCGATGTTGCCGGCCACATTGCGAATCTCCCTGCTGCTCCCCTTCAGGGCGCTCAAGATCTTCTCAACATGAAAAGCCTGGCCAATGGCTCCCTCAGTCTGCCCAGGCGGCGACTTCCCTTTCAGGGTCTCAAACTCCGTCGAGACATGTGTCCAGACATCTGCGGCCCATGAGGCCAGCAGTGAACACGTGTCCACCATTGCGGGAGCAGCCCTGAAATCAATCACCAAAAAAACGCCTTCGAGGCCAAAGCTGGCATGAGGAACATGCGAAAAGCTGGCAGTGCAATCTTACAATAAACAATCTTACAATAAACATTGCATGCTTTTTCCCACCCCTGCTCCCCATCGTGGTGAAATGGCTCGCCCAAAGTGGGCAGCCAACGCTCTCCCCCCTACCAGTCTAAGAAGCGCAGCGGCGGCTGCTTCTCCTTGGCGGCGTCCTCGGGACATACCCCTCGATCTCAGCGATGCGCCGGTCTGCCAAGACGAGCTTCCCGGTCACGTGGTCCAGCTGAGCGTAGAGCTCCCCGTTCTCTTTCTCGAGCTCTGCTATCTTGTCTCGGAGGCTACGTAAGAGTTCCTGCACCTTGTCCGCTCCCAGCCGAGTCCTGCTCTTGTTCTTCCTGTTCGCCTCATACTGTCGCGCTTTGAGCCGCTTGTGCTCCCGCTCCACCTCTATCGCACCCTCGACGATGCAAAGCGACTCCCCCGGCTCCTTCTTCACGATTGGCTTCCCGACATCAGCTTGAACAATCTGCCCTGGCTCTTTCTTCACACGAACTGGCGCCATCCTCCGGGAGCACCAGCAGGAGGCTGGCAGGCCAACCCTCTGACAGAACCAAATCAGGAACCCTGTTCTTGGAGCCAACAACCAACAGAGCATGTAACAGGTTGCACTTGCAAAACATTGCCCTTCAGAACGGCGCTGAAGCTCCCGGCCAAAGTGAATGCCCCCGCTGACACCACAGCCTTGGCAGATCGAGAGGCTACACAACTCATGACATGACTGGGTCCCGGATCCGGGTCCCGGATCCGGGTCCCGGGTCTGGACCAAGCATCGGCTTTTAAGGTTTAGGGTTTAGATTAAGGTTTAGGGTTTAGTTTAAGGATATTTGTTCGCTTTTAAGGTTTAGGGTTTAGATTAAGGTTTAGGGTTTAGTTTAGGGATTTGTTGAAGGTGTTTAGGGATTTGTTTAATTGAGAGTAAAAGAACCGTTGGGGGTTTAGGTGCCGGATTCGGGTCCCGGATTCGGGCCCCGGATCCGGGTCCCGGATCCGGGTCCCGGGTCTGGAAACCTTGACTCTTTAAGTTGTTTAGGGTTTTAGTTTAAGGATTTGTTTAAAGTGTTTAATTTAGATTAAGGTTTAGGGATTTGTTTAAGGTGTTTAATTTAGGGCTTTGTTTAATTGAGAGTAAAAGAACCGTTGGGGGTTTAGGTGCCGGATTCGGGTCCCAGATTCGGGTCCCGGATTCGGGCCCCGGATCCGGGTCCCGGGTCCGGGACCCGGGTCTGGAAACCTTGAGTAAATCCCTACTCAACCATTAAAGAGTCCACTCAAGGAGTAAATCCCTACTACCATTAAAGAGTCCAAAAATACACCTGGACTCTACAACCTGAGTGGACTCTTTAAAGGTTTAGTGGAATTCAAAGCTAAACCAAAGTGCCGGATTCGGGTCCCGGATTCGGGCCCCGGATCCGGGTCCCGGATCTGGAAACCACTCTGAGCCGCCAGCTGCTAGGCTCGTGCGCAAGCATCGGCTCAAGCCTGGGCAAGAACATCGGCTACAAGCCTGGGCAAGAAACAACTCTCAAGCGCAGTCTCAACGTGCCTGTGAAGGTGGGCCGCTGCACGCCTGTCACAACAAATGTCAGGGGAGAGAGAAAGTGATGCTGCGGCAAAGCTGTTGGGGACGACGCTGGCGTACTTCTCTCATTTTCATGCGAAGCTGCATCCTGCAGCAAGCTGCATCCTGCAGCAAAGCTGCTGGGGACGACGCTGGAGTATCTCAGCGTAAAATACACAGCCGAGAGCCTGTGGCTGCTGGGGGCGACGCTGGAGTAACTCAGCGTAAAATACAGCCAGTGTTGGGGCTTTAGTCCTCCCCTGTGTCCTTGTCGTCCTCCCCTGCAGCTTCATCGTCGTCCGGAGCAGGGCCTTTGAAGACCGGCACCTTACACGGTGCGGCAGCTTCATCGTCGTCCTTGCCAGCGTACTCCCCAGCAGCCGCATCCTCCCCAGCACCAGCAGCCGCAGCCTCATCGGTATTCCCTTCAGCAGCAGGTTTAAGGCTGGGCTTATTGGCGGTCTCACGACGGTCGGTATCCTCTTCAGCAGCAGGTTTGGCGTCCTCCAAACAAAGGCTGGGATTATTGGCGGTCTCACGACGGATAGGCTGACTCGCACGACGTAACAGTTCAGTCATCTCAGACCTTATGCCTTCGCGCCAGTTTGACCAGTCGGAGATGCGTTGTTGCTGTCTCGCTGTCCGTACCCGTCCCTGTCCTCCGTAGCACCACCGACTCCATGCAGCCCATTCCTCCCAGTCTTGCCATGCAGCCGAGGAATAACCACTGCCCCGACTAGAGCTGTTTGGCTGGCCTCCCCAGTCTTGCCATTGACCACTGCCCGGACTAGAGCTGGTTGGCTGGCCTCCCCAGTCTTGCCATTGCTGCCAGTGGCCTCCCCAGTCTTGCCATGGCCAGTGGCCTCCCCAGTCTTGCGACCCTTGCGGATCCGCCGAGGAACAAGCACCTGAAGAGTGGCCTCCCCAGTCTTGCCATTGCCCTGAGTGGCCTCCCCAGTCTTGCCATTGCCCTCCCCAGTCTTGCCATTGCCAGTGGCCTGACCAGTCTTGCCATTGCCAGTTGTCGTCCCAGCCACCTTGGGCGACGATAAAAATGATCCATGGCTTCAGCATAGCTGGGTTGGCTCTGAAAAGTATTTATGAATAGATAGGAAGGGAAATTCCAAATTGCCACCGCTCCCTTAAGCATAGGGGTAATGCATAGTGCCGTTTCAGGCTCTGTGTTAAGACAGGGTTCTCAGGGTACCCTTTCAGGCGCATGCTCTGCATTAGGCCAAACACTTGCAGCAACAGCACGTTCATGTTGCAGCCACTTGCATATATAGCAATCCCAAGCACTCTGACCGGCCGTGCCTCCCCATGCGGAAGTGATGATCGAAGCCAGGCAAACACCTGGCCCAAATCTGGGGCGGTGGGTTTAAGCCGAATCACAGCAATCCCAACCAAGCAATCTCAACCAAGCACGTTCATGTCGCAGCCACTTGTGCAGCAATCCCAACCAAGCACTCTGGGTGACCGCCCGTGCCTCCCCATTCGAAGCCAGGCAAACGCCTGGCACAAATCTGGGGCGGGGGGTTTGAGTCCTATGACCTCTGTGACAGGAACGTGTGTCTACAACATCAGGCTGGAGCATGGACCTGGCGCCCAATGTCGACGGCGTGCCACGGCGTCCTGCAGAACAGATCTTACGCAAGCTGGCAACTGGCAGAGACACACAAAGGGCACAAAGGGCACGCAAAGGCATGCTTCTTTTTTAGCCGCCCCGCGCAATCACTTTGGCTTCGGTCGCGGCCCAGCTCCTTGGCTGGAACTGGCATGGCACGTTTACTCACCTCTGCCTTGCATGCCTCCCTGGCCAAGCCACTCGTCTTCGGTGTTGGCGCCAGATAAGGACCCGAGCCTCGGTCGCACTGCATTCTGCGAAGGAAACATTAGCTTGACTGCAATGCCAAGCCAAGGGACTCCCCTTGGCCTTTGGTCCTGGTGGCCCTCCTGGCTTTGGAGCTGCAATTCCTGAATCGGAATAGGCTTCGCTTTAGTGCAATGCAAAGCCATCGCTGCCGCCAAGAAACCGGGCACTCCGCCAGCTGGCAGCGCTGGCGGACGAAGAGGAAATCCTCCCCGACCAATCACAGGACCTGATTCGGAAAGGCTTCGGTTTAGAAGTGCAATGCAAAGCCATCGCTGCCGCCAAGAAACCGAATGTCGGTCCCCCACCTGCACGCCCGTCCTTTGAAAAATTTGTACCTAGGTACATTTTTCCGAAAGGACGGGGCTACCGTCACGCAGTTTTCCGTCCTTTGGGAGGCTTGCATGTTGGGGAAATTGAGCCGGGAGTGATGGATGGCACCCACATGAGCCAAAAAACAAAAAAGGCAACAAACGAGAGACCCGCGGCAGATTTCAGGCAAAAAAAAGCGTATATGTGCATATTATGTAGTATGTGTGTGTGTTATGCGTGCTAAAACATGCGATTTATAGCGTTTACGAATACCCCCAACCCTAAAAAAAACCCTTTCCCTTCCCTCTTCACTCACAGATTGTCGCACCGCGGTCATGCAAGATTGGTTGCATCAAGGCAAAGTAGTACACAGCGATATTTGTTCGGCCATCGTTGTGAAACTACAGGAGGCCAGAGGCCACATCGTCCTCAAGCCCTGTTACAAGGCGGCAACACCACCAAACCACGCAATCGATACACCGAAATATTATAAACCCTCCGCCCCAAACCGGGTACACCCTTTGACCCCGAACCCGTAACCGCCCAGAGGGCACCCAAAAACAAACTCTTTATTTTAACCTACGGTCAACCCGCAAGCCATACAAACTTGAACTCCGCTAGCTTGGCAACCCCCGACCTAAACCTCAAGCCCCAAGCCTTAAAACACCCGAAACCGTAGAGCCAACAATAAAGGTCTATAAAACGCCAAAGCGTAAATCCGAAACCTCGAACCCCAAGCCCTAGGCCCGAAACCGCAAACCCTAAAACAACCCTAAACCCGAAACCGCATATAAAGCCTTTTTTTATATATGCCAAACCCTGCTATAAATCCGATTCAATATCAAACACCCTATAAAGCTAAATAACCCTGCTAATAAAGCCCTGAACCCCAAACCCTAGAACTCAGACTCCCGCAAGAAGCCCTAAACCCCAAACCGCCAAACTCCGTAAACCCGACGCCCCGCAAGCCCGTGAAGCCTCATGCAAAGCAACCTGAAAACCGAAGGCGTAAACCACACAGGGCCTAAACCCCAAACCCAAAGACTCAAACCCACGAAGGGTTTAAGGTACAGGTTTTTCTGTTCTTTCACCAGATAGAAATTGCGGGGTTTCATTCTGATGACTTGCAACAACCAGCTCAAGATTCTTGTTATCGTCCCGAACCATTTATTCCAAGTTGTCGCGATTACAGAGTTAGGTTTCTCAGAAGCTCATATTTGGGTTTAGGGATCACACGTCACAAGATAATCCCGGGATCTGCACAGAATATGCGTTGAAAATGATAACCTCCCACGCAAGCCGAATTATATGCACAGCTGCTCGCAAGCCATGCGCAACATGTATGCACGCCATTGTGAGTTTCAAGCGCTCATGCGTAGAATGAACAACGCATGTGGTGGTTCCAAGCAATATTGCCCGAAATGCTATTTGGGCGGCAACTCGATCGTACGGCAAGCTATACAAAATCCAATCTCGCTCTGCATTCGGATATTGCCCGAAATGTTATCTGGGCGAAATCAAATACATCAAGCTATCCAAAATTGCAAAGTTGCTCGATCCGTGCTTTTTTCAGCGACTGGCCAGCCAACAGTTGTACTGCAACAACCAGCGTTGCAGCACCCTGCTTGACAGGGTTCCTGCATGGCATGCGCCCTTAGCGCAGGCCATGACTTTTCCAATAAAGTCCTCCTCGAGATTACAGCCGGCGTACCGAGGATTTAGACGGCTGTGGCTCAATCTACAAACCACCTCGCAATGATATTGATGAAATTTAGGGCGGATTTTGTACCTGAGCTGCTCTTTTGGACTGTTCTATAGACCGTTCAAACACACTCCACGCACCGCCGAATTACGACAATCGATCGACGAGAGGCCGCGGTAGCAGCAACTCGAGGTATCGCGAAGCCAAAGCCAGGTAGGAGTGGCAATACCATCTGCCGAGCCTTGGATCATGTCAGGATAGCATAAAAATTGGGATTTGCAGGCAGCGCATGGAGCACCGATGCAGCAAGGATTCTGCTGTGCCAGCATGGCTTCATCATTCGTCAGCCAGATCGAGCACTTATCCAGCAGATTCGCGAAGGCTGTTATGGACCACGCATTCACTGCCGCCAATCGAAGCTCCGGAATCGATTCGGAGAGCTCCTTATAATGGTTCTTCACAAACCCACCTGAATAAAACGTGGACCGCACATCGTCGCACAGTCGCACATGCAATATCAAAAGGCAAGCGGCAGACAGCCGTTCGGCTAAATAAGCCATCCTGATGAGAGCGGCGTTCTCTGTTTCTCTCTTTCTCTCTTCTCTCTTCTCTCTCGCTCTCTCTCTCTCTCTCTCTCTCTCTCTCTCTGTCTCTCTCTCTCTCTCTCTCTCTCTCTCTCTCTCTGCATAGTGTGCCAAGCCACAACACGCGGTTGGCCCATCCTTTTCCGGGCCCCAGTGGATAATCCAATGAAACCGCATCGATCCCCAATTTGACAAGACCTCAGAAACTGAGGCAGCACAAGTGTCATCACGTACAAATGCCTTCGAAGAGAGTGCTGAATAAGTAGCACAGCCCTAAATAAGAGAAGCTAGGTGACTCAGACCATCAAGGAGGCTGGGTCGAAAATGGTGCTCTCTGCACCACATCTGAAAGTCGCCATGCAGCACGTGCAACCTTTCATCCCATGTCTCGTAGGTCTGCAGCTGCGGGGAAAGTCTGGCCAGCTCCATAACATGAGACGCCGTTGCGTCTCTCACTGTTCCCAGATACAAGCAATGGAGCAAATCAGGATATTCACACGAATGATGGTAGCCAGGTACTTTCCACATCCTTAACGACATTTCGTGATGCAACACCATATACGACTGCCTTCGATCTGCAGCCTTGCATGCCGCAGACCCACATAAGCCAGCAAACATAATTAAGTCAAGCCTGGTGGCGGGATTTCTGGGCCAACGCCTTAGACCAAAGGAAGCAACGCATGCAACAAATGACATCTGCCGCACACATCAAGTCAAACTTGCACCGTTATTATCATGCCCTTAATCGAGCAGGTACTGTCATTCGCGGCTTCCCGCAGATCAGCCGGGTTGTCGAAGCCCTCCTGCATATCGGCCCAGTGCTTTCCAGGTGTGCTGCCATCGCACAGGCACCTCGGGCAGATCCTGCCACCCTCAGAAGCACGAGCAGGAGCATTGCCAGCCAAGTTCATATAGTGGCGCTTCTGCTGCAACCACTCGCGTTTGTGCTTCCAGTCTCCCTTGGATACGACAGGGTGAATGCTCCATCCATGTTGGCCTTGGCCGTCGCAAGAGCCGCAAATCCGGAATGAATCTGCAAAGCAGCGCTGCAACCCTTCAAGTGTCAGGTTCTTTCCGTCTTTGTAAGCAAACCTGTCCGCTCGCACGACCTCAGATGAGATTTGGTATAGTGTGCATATACCATATGCACAGGAAACTGCAAGCTATATGTGCATGTGCTGCAGGAATAAAGGCAACACCGAGGCACGCAAAACGGATATTTCTGCAGCATGCTGTCGGCACGGTGGATGGCTAAGGAGGATAGTGAGATAACCAAGACGCTTTTTGATCTCTTTGCAGTACCCTCATCACCGTGTATGGACACGGCCACCGCTTTGCGCCTGGCCTCTTCCGGCCAAGCTTGCACCGGGTGATTCCTTGTTTATGGTCGACGAATCCATACATGCAGACGAATAATAATATACTTCTGCGAGTCTAGATATACTGACTACAAAGCAGTAGCATCCAAACAGTTCGGACAAGGTGCATCCCCCAAGGCTCAGTCTTAGACTTTTCCCACCAGTCCACCCAGTCGACAGTACCGGCCCTTGTTTATTTTGCACAAAAACTCAACACATCATGCATGACATCACCAACAACGGGATCTACATGCACAATGCTACCAAGCATCAGCTCGGAGATCAGGCCAGATTGAACCATGTTCTTGAATAGAACATGAGGCAGCAGAACTGGCAGCAGTTGCAAACTTGTCTCACCCACCGCCTTGGCCCTGGCACTTTTTTTCTTGGGTCGACGTCTCCTGATTCCTCGATTGAAGCGAGCTCTCGCCTGTCGCTTCTGTTGCTGTTCTTGGCGCACTTCGACACGTGAATCTTTCATCATGATAGACACTCCACTCAACGGGCATCGTAGTGGAGCCTCGGATGAACGATGCGTTTGGCTCCGACACACTGGCACACATGAAACACATGCGGTCTCATATTATATTCAGACATGCGACATCACCCTTCGGAGAAGCTAAAGCCTTGCTGAGCCGTTCCTCGATGTGCTGCCGACGACGACCCGACGCACCTAGCGTCGCAGCCCACCTTGTACCTTGGAACCGTAGCTTCACAGGCATGCGTGAGTTTGCCAAAAACGGTCGTGAGACTCGGAACATACAGAACTACTTTCGACAAGGCTCTGGCGGTCACGTTCGAAGGGCCCGACTCAGTCACCGCTGCAGCTGAAATTTCTTGAAGAAGTCCGGAGCTTGCTCCGCGGCCCACGCGGAAACCAATGGTTCGACTCAATGGACTTTGATGCAACGAAAAATCAGCACTCGATGGCCTTCTCTCCACATCAGCACTGCCAGCCGCCTTCTCACGAAGGCTTTTGTTCAAACCCAGCAGTCTCTTCAGCAGTGGCATAAGCCGGGGATCCCATGCAAAACGAAGCCATCATGATGGGGCGAGGGCTCTTTCGACGGTTCGAGTTTATATGCTCTATGTGTGTATGCGTGTGCATGCGTGTGGCGCACATGTGGTATAAATTACATAGTTTTGTGGTGCTTACTCAAGGGTAGGCCGGGCTACGTGGGGGTTGTGGTGGTGTTGGTGGCCGGTGTTGTTGTTGTTGGCTGTGTCGGCAGTATATGTTGGTTGTGGATGGAGGTGTGGGGACCTATGCGTTTCTGATCGAACATCCTGTTTGGCTGAATGACGAAATAGGACATTAACCAACAACTATAACTGTGGGAAGAAGCCGCGGGCCGTCCAACATAAGAAGTCAACAGTCTGATCATGCTCGACTGATGCCGTCGTGCGCAGAAATTCGCTGCAATGCATCTGACACTTGATCCGCAACCGACACGTGTTTTGGGGCTGGCCGCACTGCATGGATATGGATGAAGGCAAGACCAGTTAGCACTTGGACCCCGATCGAGCGCAGCACGGTCTCCTATGGAGCGCAAAGCACGGTACTCGATCATAATACACTACATGCACAGCTGTGTGCACACATATCAACTATAACACACCCACAAACAACAAGGGCTCCATGTGGAATCTGCGATGATGACTTCTACAATCTCGATGACATCACTTTACGATGGGATTCCGTGCATACGCAGTCTTCGCAAAAGATGAACATGTGGTCCCATGTTCCTGGCTGCTCGATCCCCGCTCACACTCGCGGCACACTGATCTACAGCAGAGGCAGAGTGATGAGCCCGTGAACCCTCAAGCGCCAGATCGCAAAGGAAAATCACGAGACCTCCAGGATCGGATGCAGACGGCTCGGCAGCCGCGGTGGCACATATATTGTAAGTGTACATGTTGGTCCGACATATAGAGGAACCCACCATTATATACCAAGACCATCACGGAATCACCATACATATCAGGGTTACCGTGCTTAATTGCAACCACAGCATACACTATGCAACTACGTACTGCATGAAGCTTCCCTGTTATTCTCTATCTATACTCTATACCGACCTATACATCTACCGACATACCTAAAATATCGGCCCAGCTATACGTAGCTTGTCGGTTGTCCTATACAAAAACTCACAGCTGTCGGTCCGCATCACGGTCCACGGCTCGAAGCCTAGCTCTCCGCTTTGGAGGCTGCTTTGGCTTTCTTCGCAGTTTTTGTGGGGCGTTTCTCCGCAGCGATCCTCAGTTGATTATTCGTCGCTCGGCAACATTGTGCACGCATGCTGCTATTTTACGTGACAGTCCATATAAAACAAGAAGCAATCCATTCGCGACTCGCATGTGCTTCTTGAAGCCCTCCACGAAGACGGCGGCCTGGGATGTGTCACTATATGCCGGGGTCTGGGTTTGGGGTTTAGGGTTTGCAACTCACAAGCACCGCATATGAAAGCAGGTCGTAGGTCCGAGTCGCTTCCAAAAGGGCCGACTGCACATCCGATGCCACGGGCGCGGGCCCCAGGAGCTGCAGCTTCTTGCGGCAGGCACCAATGCCATCGGCACAATCCCGAACTTTGCTCATCAAAGCCTCCTGGCTGTCCAGCACCTCCAGCCTCAGGTTTACTCAGCAAAGCAAATGCAACCACGGAAACACGCTGCTTCCACACAAATCATGCATTGCGTGATGTATTAACATCAATGGCAAAGGCACTCCGCACAGGTTTTCACGGCTTGCCCCTGAGCCGTGTTAGCTGCCGCCACCCAGGACTTCACGAAAAGCGTAACATCTTCCGTGCTGATAGCCAGCTCCAAATCAGAACCCTGCGAGGACAGGGGGCAATATGCGAGCTGGGAATAGCGCAGGCGTGCTTCTTTGGTGTGAAAGAAGGGAAAGGGTTCGAGAGCATTATCGTTTATAGCCCGGCCTCTGGACGAGCAGGTCTCGCCTTTTTGGGCGGAGGATCTTCTGTCGTGGTGGTCTCCGGAACGCCAGCATTCTGTTTCTGAGTCTTGCCGTTCTTCGGGGGCGGCTTCGGATTCGGCGGGTTCTCCGAGACTTCAACGCTGGGCCGACCACCACTCGAGCCCTGGATGGGCACAGCACCGTTCATCGTGTCGAGCTGCGCGGCGACGGAAGCCGCAAAGCTAGGTGAGCAGCCCATGGTCATTGCAATGTCGTCCTGAGGACTGGTTGCAAAAGGTGCGACCAGTATACAGGGACCACTACATGGCAATCGTGCACACCAGCAAAATGCACACTAGATCATGGGAACGATCGACACCGAGCCACGATCGTTCGGTTCGTGAAGCTCTTCTTCTGCCTCCCGTAGTACAGGAAAGTTTCGACGGTAGCGTCGTTGCGGTCACACGACGTCCTGCGGGGGTGCATGCAAAGCTGAACATACTGAAACCAATATTTTATTCCGAAACAATAACCAAACTGCACCAACGATCTGCACAGGATGTGACGCGGGGTCCCGGACGGCTCTGTGCGCCGTCGTTGCACGAACTGAAGGGCCTTGGTCTCGTTGCCATCATGAAAGGCCAAAATATCCTTCCATGGATAATATTCACCTGCGCAGGAGTGTGGGTTTGTCTGAATAAGTAGGTGGGTGCATGCATGGGTGGGCGGGCGGGCGAGCTAGTGGGTGGGTGGGTTTATATATATATATATATATGTATATATATATATATATATATATATATATATAGCTAAATCTGCCGAATATAAGTCTCTATATATATATATATATCGAGGATCTATGTGTATATACATATAATATATACAATATAACAATATGTAGCACACACAATTAAGCACGACTGATAAACCCTGGATGCGAAAGTGCCTTCGTCCTTGTCCTCCTCCTCCCTTTGCCGCCGGAATCTGAGAGCGCACTCCAAGGCCTTTGGGTCACCTTTGTTGGATGGGCTTGAATGATGGATGGTAGTCAATGCATGGTAGCTTCTGCATGCGTGGAAATCCAAAGTCAACACTCTCATATATAATTGGCCCTGCATGATGGACAATATAGTGCACATAATCAGCCTAGTCGCAGCCTGTCAACACAAACTTCTGGAACATCGCCAAACGCTGCGGTCCACCCTGCACCCAAACCTTCTTCAACTCCTCTGCTCCCGGCGAGTTTTCACAAAACCGCTGGAACGTCTTGTACTCGGTCTTGTGGGTTCCCGAATTGATGATAGCGTTGGGCCCTGGCCTCGCGAGAGCGAGAGTGGTGCAAGGAGGCGGAGTGCTCGGGGTTCCAGGCGGATTAATCGACGGGCTCGGCGTTGCAGGTGCAGTTGCGGGGCTCGGACTCGCTGGCGACGGCTGCAAGTCAACGCCACTCGCACTGTCGATAATCTTTGTTTTATCCACAACAGCAGGCTGCTTCGGCGGCACAGAAACATCAGGAACAGGGGCAACAGCCAGCTGCTGCTGCTGCTGCTGTTGGAGCGGCTGCGCAGCCGCTCCTCCGGTTGCTTTCGCAACAAGCGCCTTCAAGGATTCTTGGATGCTTCCAAGGTTTGATGAGTCAGCACCATCAGCAACAGACAGCTGGCCCATCGATTGGCTGAGCAATGCAGCCAGCATTGTCAAGGCTTCATTCGTCATGGGAGCAGCACCTGCTGTAGTCGTTGAGGGCTGTCCCGGATGCTCTGTTGCCGCCCTGGTCGGAACAGCCGGGAGTTCCATTTTCGGTGGTACACTTGGTGGCCCCTTCGCCACAGCAGCACCAACGTTGGCCACCTCCGGGGTCACGACAGCAGCAGTCGCAGGTGTTGGAGCAACAACGTTGGCCACCTCTGCTGGGGCCACAACAGCAGCAGTCGTAGGTGTCGGAGCAACAACGTTGGCCACCTCCGCCGGGGTCACGACAGCAGTCGTAGGTGCTGGAGCAACAACGTTGGCCACCTCTGCTGGGGCCACAACAGCAGCAGTCGTAGGTGTCGGAGCAACAACGTTGGCCACCGCCGCGGTCACGACAGCAGCAGTCGTAGTAGGTGTCGGAGCAACAACGTTGGCCACCATTGGGGTCACGACAGCAGCAGTCGTAGGTGTCGGAGCAACAAAGTTGGCCACCTCTGTTGGGGCCACGACAGAAGCAGTCGTAGGTGTCGGAGCAGCAACCTTGGCCACCACTGTTGGGGCCTTCACAGCAGCAGTCGTAAGTGCCGGAGCGGCCGACTGGGTAGAAGCAGGGCTGGGTTCCACGATCTCAGCTGTCGTAGGCGACTGAACCGACTCTTCGTCCACACTCGACCCCAGCGACGAATTCGATCTGAACCGCTTCCAGAAACTGCCATACATGCGTTTTTCATCAGGGCTCAATTCCGGCAAGGCGTAATCGTCCTGCATATAGGGGCCACACTAAAGATAGCTTTATAACCCCAATGCAGTCAAAACCACAATGCCCTCTATATGCAGATCAATATTTATATATATATATATATATATATACATACATACATATACATTCATACATACATACATACATACAAACAAATAATGCATACATATCACGAATCACCCGGCAAATTAAACGGTGTATGTCCTTCGCAGCAGGAGACGCCCGGGTCTTCTGAGGTTTTGATGCACTTTTGGCCTTCGGTGTCACTGGACCCGGCTTGATCTGTGGGGCCTTCGCCTGCAACGCCGCCGATGTGTCCGAGGGAACCAAGTCCTGCCACGCGGCTAACACTCACTATTAATTCGGATTGGGTTTTTACATACGATAAGAAAATACCTGTATAGATATCTACACATATATAAGTATGTGGTCCAAGATACTTATGGCTCTATCTCAAGACAGGCAAATATACCACCCTGGGCATGGGCCTGGGCGATTCGAGCAACTTTGGAAAGGTCGTCGAAGGAAGCAGCCACAGTCAACATAGAGGCACTGTGCTGCAAACCAGCAGGCACGGGTGCGGTCTGGCCTTGTGGGGCAAGCTGTGTCTCCATCTCCGCAATTAGATCTGCGACCGAAACACCATCATCGCCCGCGGCAGTGGTCTCGCTCACCATGGAGTCCCTCCTTGTCGGTGCCACATGAAGTGTGACCGGAGCCGGATTGGCATGCACTACCATCGGGGGAAGCCGTTGCAGCTGTGACGGTCCACTTGGCACAAGGTTCTGCGAGGCTGTTGCCACCTGCTGTGCCCCGGTGTTTGGCAAAGGGTTCTCCGGAACTGCAACCGTCTGAGGCAAGGTCTGTGGAACTGCCAACGGAGCTGCTGCCATCTGGTGTGGCACTGCTTGCTGCTGTCCACTGCTTAGCGCAAGGCTCTGCTGCTGCTGCTGCTGGGTAACTGCACCGCCAGGAGCTGTAGCGGGAAGCTGCTGCAGCCCACCGCCGTTTGCAAAGGTCTGGGGAACTGCCAACGGAGCAGCTGCCACCTGCTGCGGAACGACACACGGAGCTGCTCCATGCTGCTGTCCACTGCCTGTCACAAGACTCTGCTGCTGCTGCTGCTGCTGCTGGGTAACTGCACACGGACCTGCGAAGGGAGGCTGCTGCTGTCCACTGCCCTGCAAGATCGGTGGAGCCGCCACAACTTGAAACGGAGCTGCTGCCACCTGCTGTGGCACGGCACACGGCGGAGCTGCTGTTTGCTGTCCACTGTTTGGCACAACTGCACACGAAGCTTCGGTGGAAAGCTGCTGCAAAGCACCGTTTGGCAAAGGGTCCTGCGGAACTGCAACCTGCTGCGGTGGCGGAGGCTGCTGCTGTGCACTGTTTGACACAACTGCACACGGAGCTTGGGCGGGAAGCTGTTGCAAACCACTGTTTGGCAAAGGGTTCTGCGGAACTGCAACCTGTTGCGGCGGCGCAGGCTGCTGCTGTGCACTGTTTGGCACAACTGCACACGGAGCTTCGGCGGAAAGCTGTTGCAAACCAGTGTTTGGCAAAGGGTTCTGTGGAACTGCAACTTGCGGTGGCGGAGGCTCTTGCTGTCCACTGGTTGGCAAAGTCTGGGGAACTGCACACGGAGCTGCGGCGGCGGGAGGCTGCTGCTGCACAGACGACGAAGCCGCCGTAGTTGCATCTGCTGCCGCGGGAGGCAACATCTCTGACCTCTGCTGAGATCAGATAATAACAACGAACAATAACAGATAAGAAGAAAGCAAGAAACATGTGTTGCGTGTCTGACCCCGCAGGCAGCCACAAACAGCCCCCAAACCCCCTACACCACCCCCCCCCGATGCAGTGCTCCCGGCCACCCCCACCCCAAACCCCCAACTGTCCTCCCCAACCCAGCGCACCGCACCCCCACCCCCCCCATCACCCCCACCCCCACCCCCACCCCCACCTCCACCTCCACCCCCACCCCCACCTCCACCCCCCCACCCCCCCCACCCTCACACCCACCCCCCACACCTACGGCCCCCCAACCCCCCCCTCGCCCCCGCCCCCCATGCACCCCCCACCCCACACCTCACCCCCATCCCCCACCCCCGCACCACCCACCGCTCCCCCCCAACCCACGCAAGGCGCCCCACCAACCCCCCCCGGTAGCGCTCGCCAATTTTGTGCTATGTTCTCCCGCGCACCAACCCCGCAGTAGCGCTCGCCAATTTTTTTTGCCGTGTTCTCCCACGCACCAACACCCCCGCGGTAGCGCTCGCCAATTTTTTGCCGTGTTCTCCCGCCCCCAAACACACCCGCGGTAGCGCTCGCCATTTTTTTGCCATGTTCTCCCACGCACCAACACCCCCGCGGTAGCGCTCGCCAATTTTTTGCCGTGTTCTCCCGCAACACACCCGCGGTAGCGCTCGCCATTTTTTTGCCATGTTCTCCCACGCACCAACACCCCCGCGGTAGCGCTCGCCAATTTTTTGGTGCCCTCCGCCCCCACACATCCTTATATGTTCGTCCTTCTCCAAACAATATATAATAAGAGGGGAACCTTATATATCTAGACGTCAAGACCCACCCTCTGTGGTTGGAGTTCGCGATTGTGTTTTGGGACATAGGCCCTATACAACACGTCGGGATTATTCGGCTGCCCTGGGGGTAGACACGAGGAAGCATATATCAGCACTTCACAATTCACAGTGGTGTGTACAGTAATATAGTGCTGTGGTCTAATAATAACGATAATATGATCTATTTCTATGCATGCTAATACACCGACAGGGAAGTAGAATTAAGGGGAGGAGAGTTATTGAGCTGAACGGCATCTTCTTTCTCACCAGCTCTTGCTGGTCCGCAGAAAGTCCAAGCTGACCCAGCAACAACTTGTCGATCGAGGACGCAATGTCCTCGGATATGTTCTCGTAGACATAGATAGGATTTAGTCACACGCAAGAAAAGTAGTGATTTCTTAAACATGAGAAGAGCATCCGCATCCTTGGCTTCCGAAGGCACCGACCCGGCCGCTTTCGCGGCTGCTTTAGGCTTCCCCATCGCCACAGCAGGCGAATGGAAACGCACACACTATTGAAACGCTGCTTGATTTGGTACAGACACAGCAAGAAAGCGTAGGGACAACAATCCATCAGATGGTGGTCGGGCACAGCTGTGACATGATCCGATGCACATCCGATGTGACTTCGAACATGTTTTTTAGGGTTTGGGGTTCTACATGTTGAAAGGACAGAATTCCCGCATATTCCCGCATATTCGACAGCTTTTCCCCATGTTTTCGACAAGTGTGTTTTTGCTGAAATGATAGCAACGTAGCATGATCTGATGATGATTTTTTTTGTTCGATGCTATTCGGATCTGATCGTCAACATATTTTTAGCGGTTTGGGTTCTACATGTTGAAAGGACAGAATTCCCGCATATTCCCGCAAATTCGACAGCTTTTCCCCATGTTTTCGACAAGTGTGTTTTTGCTGAAATGATAGCAACGTAGCATGATCTGATGATGATTTTTTTTTGTTCGATGCTATTCGGATCTGATCGTCAACATATTTTAAGGGTTTGGGCCCTACATGTTGAAAGGACAGAATTCCCGCATATTCCCGCATATTCGACAGCTTTTCCCCATGTTTTCGACAAGTGTGTTTTTACCATAGAGATGTCGTTCCGGCACCCAAAGATTCGTCAGCAATGTCATCCGGATGCGACACGATGTGTTCACGTTGTCCTTCCGATGTTTCATTGCACACTTTTCCAAGTCAGATGTTGTAGCATGATTGTAGCGGTGCCTCCGCGTTGTTGTTCGGATGCTGCACAGCGCGCTTTTCCAAGTCGGGTGTACATCGTGACTTCAGCCATGCCTTTCCCCAGGCTGCTCGGCTAGGAGGCTAAGAAAGCGATGCCATTTAGAAGGCCTAAGCGAAGTCACTCGGCCAGTCCTTGGGCAACCGGAGCTTGCCGCTCGCTTGCATGAAGTGCACGATCTGCAAGAGCGAAGCCTGGGCTGACTTTTGTGGATGTGCCCAGGAACAACATATGTTCCAGGGATTGGATTTCCGTCCTACCTTGGGTCAAATGCTGCCTGAAAACATCCTCCTGCCAATCGATCGGCTCCGAAAAGAGGACAGAGATCTGTCCTTGGAGGTCGTAGTCCTCATCCGAAGCCGCGAAGACATTCGGCCAGGTGCTCGACTCATGGCATCCGATGCACGATGCCTGAGAAAGCGACGTTTTTTTTGTTATGACTAGCTTTGCTCTATGGAGACATATACTTTGTTGTAAGACGAATCGTTATAAAAGGACATTTTGTGGGGCTGCATGACATAATGGAACGAAACCGCAGCAGTAACTCCCGCGGAACTCCGAAGCACTGGACACCTGAACAATCAACAGCTACATGGATATATACGTACATGCAGACACAGATGCATACTTGGAGGATCATGGGACTTAGTAACTAGGGTTACTATTACGGTAACTATACTTATATAACTACTTATAACCCCAATTAGGGTACTTATAACCATACTTACTAAGTCCCATGATCCTCCAAGTACATGTGTATATCTATATGTGTGTACAAACATACATGCCGACATGCACACACATATACTTACATGAGCCCCGCGAAGAAAGTTCAAGTACCTCGGGCTGCCCTTTGCAAGTGCCCCTGTTGCGCGAGTCGTGCCACTTATTGTCTCGCTAGAAGATCCTGCCAAACCTTTTCACCACGTGCTTCTACGATATCCATACGAATCTCTGTGGGGTTTCCAACGTTTACAAGACTACTTCGAGGGTCGTTGCAATTGCAAGGGCTACACATTAGAGGATAATGCAAGGACCGCAGAGTTTCGTTGATGCTCAAGCTTACATGATGTTTATCTTGAGGATATCAATGTTTTTGGGCTCAGGGTTGAAGCCTAGGCTTCTTGGAGCAGAAGCCAAAAGGCAATTCATCTAGTACGAAGATTATGAATTATAGAGCAACCCATGTAAATCACCTGCATTCGAAAAATAATGACACCTCAAAACACAAGCACCCATAACATCCCGAAGCGTAGGCTGGAGTGGAGACAAACAGCTTCGCGTGGTTAAATCCCAAAGACGGAATGGAACAAGTATCTATAGTCCTAAGTTTCGCTTGAAACTGTATTTCTTCGGTCCCCGATATAACAACAGTGTCCTACACATATTAATGATTCCAAGACAAAGACATATACATATGCATGTACGTTGACATATGTACGTGCACACATATAGATATACTGCCAACTTCTACGCATATCACCATTACATTCATTACTGAATCCTGATGCAGACCCTACACATTGCTGACCCCAGGGTCGGAACAGCGGGCCGAAGCCCAAGCATCGAGCACATCGTTGGCGAACTGTGGGGTGTATTGCCTGGGCCCGAGATATACTTGGAAAGCTGTGTGGCCAGAGTTCTTGCACGGTTATGATATCAAGGGTTCGGGCTGACATACTATGGCATTGTATGCCGATGAGTCTGGATTTCTTGACACTTTTCATAAGAGTACACAAGGATGTGTTGGGGAACAAAGCCGTATACTTTAATATAAGTATACGGCTCGAACTTCAGCTGAGCTCGTGTTGAAGGCGGCTGCATGATCGAACTCTGTCGGACTTCCTAGGATTAAGTCTTACAGGCTGAGGGTCCATACGGCATTGAACGGTAGTGCCTCGTTATATAGCATAGGGAAGAAATCAAAGGTGCGGAGCCAGGTTTTGGAGATGTGGAACTGCAGTCTCATACAATGTTCGTTCCTGCAAAATTCGCATTGGTAAGTGTCCCTGATGCTGCATGCAAGAGAGATCTCCGCCACCTAGCTGATATCCAGTTGATCAGACCTACCCAGAAACAAACCATATGGAACGTACACCATTATTGAGGGTATTACTTGAACTGTACACCAGCCAAGGCCACTGGGTATCCTTCACGTCCTTCGGCTTGCCAGTCACCGTGGATTTGCCGCTCTCCTGAGATGTGGTCGTAAATTACGATTCTAATATTTCACAGCTATAGGCCATGTCTACCACAATAAAAAAATTATTAATACCATGCATATTGTTCGGTTATGATGTGTGACCGGGCACTGTGGAGACCTGTCGATAAGATTGCACAATATTGGTTGCAGCCATTTATGCCCGCATTCCCGAATCGTGTACGACCGCTGCTGCTAACAGGAGCTTCTATTATTGCATATATCTAAATACATAGAGCACATACCATATATAAGTTTCCATGCATGCACAAATGAACTTATTGAGGTAGTTGTTCTGCTAATGAGCAATCATCATATTTCTGTTAAGGGCCATGAGACCGGTATCAAGTAGTGCCTACGCACAAAGTAAACAATTTCGGGTTTGGACCGTTGCATCAGGTTGCCGCTAAAGCTCATTCGTCGCACGCTTCACGATCGCCTTCCGCACTCTCTTCCACCCAGGGTGTGTGGTCGCAGCTCTGCTCTCGGACAGGTTTTGCAGCTCCTTCATATTAATTATGGACAAGATCAGGATCCGCAGACAGAGCCCTATATAGACTTCCCGTTGACATACCGCGGTATCCAGCATACACTGTCCTGGAAGCACGCATGCTGGGAGTAGAGATAGGAGGGCTTCGGTGTGAACGAACCGAAACTGGCCATGTGGATGCGGAACTTGTAAACCTTAGCTTCAATA